GCTTCTCTTGGCTGCCACTTTTAATTTTCTTCAAGTTTATTTGCCGCTTTCCTGTGATTGCTTCATCCCTTTCATTCCGTAAGCCCCAACCTTCTCCTGCTCCTGCTCCCCATCAGAAGCTTTCCTTTTTAATTTTTATTGAATTGGCTCTTGTTACTGCTTAGACTTTGGATTGAAATTAAACGAGCGTGGTTTATGGCTGCAGTCGCCGTGGAAGGAGTGAAATTTAATCAAGTTATGCACTGCTTGCTGCCAGGGTGGCTGCCAACAAAGAAAACAAGTCTCGAGTGGCCGGCCATTGTTTAAGCCAAGGCAAAACTTTGCCAACTCCAAACTTAATTAAAAAAAAAAAGAAAAGAAAAAAAACGAGTGATTCGCACATTTACAGCCCCTTCTGCTACTGGATCATTCCCTTGAGCCAATATATACGAGATTATATATATATATATCCCTGGATAAGCACATATTTGGTTGAAATGAGCCTACTGCCCACACACACAAACACACAGCACAAAGCTAATGAAAGCCTCGACCGCGAAATTGCGCGTAACTTGGCATAATATTTGACCAATATGGCTAATTGTGTATACGCCGTGTAGGGCTCGAGTGCAGGAACTGACTGCAAGCCGACCGCAATCAGGCAAACACACACGTGGAGCAACCGCCACAAAGTGAAGCCGTGCACATCAACGTAATAATTGTAATAATACAAATGCCGACACTTGCGGACAACAACTGCGTCCTGGCAAAGAGCCAGGCAGCAGGTCAACAAGTAAGTCTATATATATATATATATATACATGTACACAAGTGCAACCAACATCTCCATCATCGTCGTCATCATCATCGCCGTCCTGATGGCCTGAGGTTGCAGGTCGGAGTTCGTAGGTCGCCAGTCCTGCGCTTGATAATGCTGTTGCGTCAGGAAACTTGAAATGAATTTGCATAAACTTCGGGTCTGGTCCCGAGTCCCAAATTGAAATATGCCAGGCTGCCAAAACAAAAGCCAGCGAACGGCAGCAGCAGCAGCAGGTGAAGGAAGAGCCAAAGCCTTCCCTTTATACTTCGCCCTTCGTCCTTTGCTTTACCCGACAAGGGTTAAGAAATAGGTTTTAGGGTTGCCACGTTGGCAAGCTGACTTTATTTGCAATATGGAAATATTTTTCATTACCTTGTCTCCATCTGAACCATTTTCCTCCCCTTTTCCATGTCAATCGCTGGCTGTCAAGACGCTGGATCTCGTATCTGCACTGCTTGTGGTGGTTCTGCATGCGGATATGCGGATGCGGCTCTTGTCTTGGCATATTTTATGGCAATATTTTTGATATTCCCTGTTAGTCGCTCAGCCACTTATATGCCAATTTCGCAGCCAAACTCGTCTGAAGTGAAGTGAAGCATGGCCAAATCTTTTTGGGCTCTGGGCTTTAACTTTTATCGAACAAAGGACAGCTCTTAATGGAAGTTTAAGCTGCAGTCAGCACTTAGAATGTTTAAGGGAAAGATGAAAGTGTATGCCCTGGCTTTAAAGACTTTAAGACTTCAGATTTTTTTACATTTTTACATATTACTTTTAACTAGCAATAAATATTTGTAACTGAAGTTAAAGTAATCCTCTATTATGTAAGTAATATGGGATTATATATACGTATCCATAGCTCTCCTGGCACTACAAACAACCGTGACCATATGCCAACCAATCGATCCCGGTTAATGGCCACTCGACCTGTACTGACTGCACTCAAAGTGCCTCTGCTGTTTGCTAGGCTGACAGATGCGGATGTGCTGATGAGGATATTGCAAATGTGTGGATATGCGGATATATGTCGAGAGTACGTCGCTGAGAGGGAAAGTCACAGGAGCTGGTCGAACAATTGAGCAATTGAGAACCAATGATGACTTCATCGAAAAGCATATATGCACTATACTCTGGTTACCAGGAGATATGCAGACTTGCGGCATTAGCGATAATCCGTAGTTTTGCCAGATTGTGCTTATGCCACTCGCTTAAATTGAATTGCCACGGCGCTGCGCCAGCGACTTTTAATGCGTTCCATGCAAATAGAGGCGCTGGCTCCTTCAGCGCCAACTGCCGGGCACGGACAACAATTACGCGCATTATCCTTTCGACTGGACTCGGACACGGACACGGACACGAATCCGGATCCGGACGATAACACGGCGTTTGCTTAAACAAGCATAAATGCGAAACGCTAAAAGGACACTAAAAACGAAACGGAAAAGGAAAATGTAGATTTCCTTGGACGAAAGTAAAATGCTCTAAAAATGTTAAAAAGGTAAACTTTTCATTTTGCCTGATACAAAAAATTTATACGAAATTTTCTACATGTTGTCTACATGTTTTGTTGTCTTAAAACTTACAATAAAAATGCAAACACTTAAGTAAACTTACAACAAATATGTCTTTATTTTGTTTAAGTCGAAAATTCGAATAGCTTTCTTCTTGTAGTAGCGTCAAGTAGCTCGACCTCGAGCAGCGTATAAAAAAGTGCTCTGCAATTTTAATTTGGCTAAGTAGCAGCCAGTGACAGACAGCGGCACTAGGATGCGAATACCTTGTTAGCGGGTAAGAAGCGGATTCGACCTAGAGATACCCTGCATTTCCCCAGGGAATTGAGTGCCCTTGGACCTAATTCCGTGGCCCAGAATGACCGAACTTCTCCGTAGCCCTGCTACCCTGTGGATCTTGAAAAAACGCTAATTTAATTTTAACTTTGTGCATCCTTTTCTCGGACCTTCTGCAAGTCCTTCCTGGCTGTTTGGCTATATATATATATATATATATCCTCATTCCATCCGCCTTGTGTTTGATTTCGCTGTCAGCGTCTTTGGCACACTTTTGCAGCGCATTAGAGGGCTCAACTTTTGGGCGAGAGTGGGCGGAAAGTTAAAGTCAGAAACGGAGATGGCGGGGAAAAAAAATGCGACGCGAAAGAGTAAAAGTAAAATATTTGTCCTGCCACGGCCATTGCAAGTGAACAGCGCTGATTGCGGCACTAAAACGAAACGGGTTCTTGTGCGGCGATAAGATTTCCAACACTGCCATCCTCCCGTTACCCAGACTCAGCCAGAAGTTAATCGGTCCGAAGTTTGGCCATCCCGAGTCTAATGTGCTTGGCCAAAAGTTTTTGGGCCCGGCTCAAAGGCAGTTGGCACCTCGGACCGCTTTCAGTTATTTACGCAACGTCGCCTGAACCTGACAATCAGCAGCAATTTGCCGCAGCTCCTGGTATCCCCCATTCGTATCCACATCCACATCCGTATCCGAATCCGAATTCTTATTCAGAAAGCATCCGATAAACATAACAGTTGTTGTCGTGCCGCCGGCTCACACCTTGGAAATGGATTTTAGGGTGGGTTCTGGGAAGCAGTGATGAGCATAAAAAGGTTGTAACAATGCGTAGGGCTTTGAAGTAGATTTAAATTTTAAAATATATTAATGGTGAAATGCTCAATTTGTTTTAAGAATTTCAGACCTTCAGTTTGTATTTGATTTTTTTTAGTTTATACAAATTTTAATTTAATTTTGTATTTATTTATTTAATTATAATTTAAACTTCATTGACATGAACTCTTAATATTTAAAATCTTAAATTTAAAAAAAGAGGTTACATTAACCACCAACTCCTTTAAAAATAATAACAAAAAAAGGTCAAATTGTCACCTCTGTTGGTTTTCGGTGGTTTTTCAGTGGGTGGTGTGGCCGTTTGATGGCGGTTCGCTGCTGCCAACAAATCGTCGCCAGCTGGCGGCGACAATAAAACGTTTTACAATGTAACCAAGGCGACGACAAGGAGCAGGATCCGTGTGGCCATGTGTGGCCAACAATGTGCAACAAAGTTCATAATTGTTTATGGCGACGGCTTCGATTTGATTTTTATGTCTTCAAGGGCTTGGGAGGGCAGTGATTGAGCGTCGGCCCAGCGATAACAGGAGGTCATATAAGCCTCATGCCTCTAAATGTTGAGGGAAGAAAAATCTCAAAAAGTTTTTATTTCTAGGGTCAGCAAACTTGTAAGGCATTTAAGGGACTTTTATTCCTAGTTTAAATCAATTAAATATTTGTTTAGATTTGTAAAGAAAAATATTATTTCTATTTTAAAAAGAAACTGACTGTCAAAGAAAACCATTTAAAGCCTTCCAAATAAAATGAAAAAATCCAGAAAGGGGATTAAAAATCCCTTGCATTTGGCCCCATGTACTCGTATTGTATCTTCAAGATACAACATTTTAAAACATAAGTCGCTTTTCGTTCTTCACTTGGCTTAATAGCATAGAAGCATTAGGGATGAAATTTCAGACTTTATTATTCCCCATCCTGTGGGCTCCAATCCCCCTAGCCTTTTGGCTTCATTATATTGAAACTTTGACGTCGTTCTTTTGCATAATTTACAGCACGCTTGAATGCAGCAGCGAAGTATATTTCTATAACTACACCGAGGATGGATGAAAATGCGAAGGAAAATGGTAGTGGTCGGAGAGGGATATGGAGGTGAGGTGAAACTGTGCGTGTCGGTTGTCAACGTTACTACCTTGGCACATGCGAAACGTGAACTTCGAGACATCGAGTTAATGATTCGCACTTGTTCGCCCCGGCCACCACGCCCTCTCGACTTTTGTACACCAGTAATGAAGTTGATTTATTGCATTACAAGACATTCAGGGTACCCTTCGATTTCTTTAGCTCAAAACACACTCGCACTTACACACCCAAGAGCAATGAACTCTGTATCAATCGAATCGAAGGAAATATGCAGACCAAAATAGATGTGCATTGTGGCTGGCGGAAGATGCAGCTGAACTGCATCTGTTCCGCTAGTTCCGTTGGATTGAACTATTTCCTAGATATCTATAAATAGACGGTATACCCCCGATCTTAGACACGCGTCTGCGATTGTCTTGCCGTCTAAGTGTTAAATTTAGAATGTGGAGAAGTAGGGCCCGTCAGCCACCCAAAAAAAAACAGAACCAATGTCTGGAGCTCCAACTTCAGTTTCTTCAGAAGCGCCATGGAGTGCAGAGCTGTTCCCATTCTTCCCACCTACTCACAAGCCTGGTTGGTAGTGCTTAGTATCTTAAAAGTCCGAAAACCTAAAGATTATATGTCCCCAAACAGCGGTACTTCCCTGCCTCGAAAGCCATCCCTCTGCCGGACACTCTTCGATTACGGACCTCTTAATGATCCTGTGATTATTCTCATTACCCTAGCCGTTGTGGTTGGATCTTTCTGCCTCCTCAGTGGTTTCATTCTGCTCTGTGTGGTGTCGAAAGCATGGCAGGATGAGACATCCGAGGCTATTCTGCTGATGGGTAAGTCGATCTATCATAATCTTAGAGTCCCAAGCTAAAGTTTTCCTTCCCAGCGATTGGATTCTTTATCACTGCCCTCTCCTGCGTATCCTGGAAACTGACAAGAGCCCAGCGAATCAATCATCTAGTGGATGTCCTTAGTGTAGAAACCCAAACTATCTGACTTAAGAGTATTATTTATCGGTCATAAGTAAACCAACTATAGAATAAGTGAGAGACAAACTGAAGCGTACAAAGATGAACACAATAACTTTATTTATATTTCATTGATTTAATGGTAAAAAAAGAAATTGATTTCATTATCTTAATGACCTATTTGCTAATCTTTTTTGCTCTTATAAGTAGACAGACAGCAAGCGATTAGAAAAGCACTTAAAAATTATACGATTTCTAGTTAAACAAACCTTTTGTAACCTCTTTTAAGAATATCAACTCATGATAGCCTAAGCCTAAGCCCTAATGTTCTGGGTTATCCAGGGTACAAATCGAGTAACATCTGTATAGATGGCCGAAGACCCAGCGCCGCAATCTCTTGGTCCCTTACTGACGATACCTGTCTGAACGAAACGCTGTTGGCCCAAATACAAATAAGGAAATAATAGAGGTCCTCCGGAATCTCCTTTGCAGCTGTCCTGTTGATAGGCACTGACACACAACTGATTTCCAATGAGCGAAATATTCCGATCATGATTGCATTGGTCGAGTGTCAAACGTCTCACACTGGCCTCTTTGGGCACATCGGATGGCATATCCCCCTCTGTAATGCCCCAACCTGTGACCTTCTGGTTCGGTCTTTGATTATTCCAAATACTCTGCCTTACTTCCTCATGCAGAGGCAGGCAAATGGGTTTGATAAATTCTGTAAATTGGAAAGACTTAGTTTTCTATTAGATTGATAAATACGGAATATTCACTAGAGAACTCGACGGATCGTGCCAGACGGACCAAGGCAATGTCATAGTGAAGTGTGATATTATCATAACCCTCATGCACAACATAGTTTTCCACTGAAACATCCTGGTATGGAGGCAGACAAACTTCCGTCGAGCCGTAGGTCTCACAATCCCGCTCTGTTGAGATCTTGTGCTCTCCCAAACGAATGGTAATCCTAAAGGAAGTTCGATCTCGTTTAAATCTTATTTCAAATCCCATTTAGCAGTACTTACAGCGAATCTAATATGCAATGGGCAGCTGTTAGGATATAGCCTGTTCGAAATAACTTATTAACAAAGATTCTCAAAGTCGAAAACTACTCTAAACTTACGCGACGTAATCAATGTGCCTCCGCACTTGAAGGCGGTCCTCTCATGGGCATCTTGTATATCGTATTTGAGCAGGACCATCCAGGGTCGAGAACCCATTCTGATTTCATTTCCCCCAGTGACCTTGTTATCACCGAATACTCCGCACACCGGTTCACTGGCCCTGAGCACCTCCAAACCCGAATCATTGATGGATTCCTCACAGCATACAATTGTCTATAAAAAACTGAAATCACACACCACACTTTCTCCTTGGAAGAGTGATACTTACTTTACTTTTTTCAGAACAAAGGCAATGTTTAAATATTTCAGTTTCTCTGGGTGTCAGCTTCACCTTCGCATTCATCTTTGCCACTATATCAAGGATGTATGGACATTGTCTGTAGTCTACACATTTACCTGGTTTATTATCGAAGGTGGTGCAGTATTCGGGATCTTTTAAAGATAAAGGTTACTAGAGGTTAGCCTTTGTTAGCTGTTACTTACAGATTTCCTTTGTTTGGTTACCAGAAACATCTGCCAGGCAGAGTTCCTCACCCAGAACAAGGAATATTGCCAGAAACCAAAAACGCAGCTCCATCATTGCTCCTCGAAGCTCAGATCGCAACTGACTGCAGAAAGTCAGTCCAGCTTTTGATTAATCTCAATGGATGCTCTGCTTGCGAGCCACTCTATCATGATTAAATGTCTCAGTGGCGTGGTAAGAAGGGTTTTGCATTGCAAGTTGGAAATTTTGATTACATATTCCAATTATAGATATTTTTGGAGATAAGGAATATTATTAAATAATATTTTGTAATATTTTTGGGGGTTTTTGATTTTAGGTTTATACGAAGCATGTCCATCAGAACGATTACATTTAAGACTTCTTATCATTACAAAGTAATATACCTGAATTGATTTAAAAATATTATTAATCAATATAGATTCATTGAGTTCTTGAACCAAAGATTATGTAATCAGTTTACGCCGATATTTTTATTTTAATTTTAAAGCAAAATATATTTAAAACCCTGTTTCGAAAGAGACTAATAAGAAGTCATAAACATATTTAATTTATTATATTTAGAAACCAGAACACGAAAAGCATTTTTTATACAATAAAAAATCAAAACCAATATTCAGAACCTTCTATACCTATACCCATATATTTTCTCAGTATATTTTCTCTCAAGATAATTTTCTTTTGTCCTACAAGTTGCCAATCGTAGGTAACCATAACTAATTCCTCACCCCATTTCGCTCTCTCAGACATGACCTATCTCTCAACTTCTTGGGCGGGAAAAGAAGGCAGCTGCTTCTGACTACCTAAGATCGATTTTCCTTCTGTCCTCAGTCCGCAACGAGACCTCATCGAAGGAAGCCACACTTGCAAAACATGGATCGGGATTTACCCCTGCACTGGACCCTGAATCCCATTCGGATATCACGAAGTCTTTCATTGAATACTCTTTCTCTATATCGAAAGATTTCCCGCAATATGTGGCGCTGCTGCATCCAATTCTGTCACAGCCCCAAGTTTCAGCGATATGTTAGGTGAGTTAAATAGTTATTATATATATACAGAGAGAGAGAGAGAGAGAATCCCAACTTTATCTTATTCTTACAGATTCATCGAGTCCAGTCTGTGTCAGTTCTAAAGAGCAATGATCCAAGAAAATGCGCAGCTGCCTGGTCGCATTCAAACTGATTGCTACCGATTTGCAATCATCACACGTAGACGATGCCAAAATGTGTTAGTTGAATATATTATAGCCAAGCTCGGTGCGGCAGTCAACGATCTTGTTTCGGAGAGGTTTGTCAATTTATTCTCGTTCTTAGAATGCAGTTAATGCATGCTTTTGTGGCAAGACGCCAGCCGATTGGGGCATTTCCAAGCCGGCAAATATGGGAAACTACCCTTAGGCCGGCGATCCCACAATACGACCACCAGTTGGGGGAAAAACACACTCGCTTTGGAGCTGCAATAAATTCCGTGGCTATCAAGCCGAGAGCTCAGTCTCGCTTCAAAATCCGACGCGTTAAGATTGCTAATTGCTAAGCTCCAACCAGTTGTCGATCATCAGAGAATATGGAGAACATACGATTCGTGGGACAAGCTCTCAGAGCCCTGATCTTAGGCAGCCTGCTCCTCCTGATGACAGCCATTTACCGGGACGATAACCACGCCGGTTCCCATTATATCCATCCAAGACATACAGTGCAGTGATGATTACCATGGTCTCCGAATTTTCAATTCAACCTAGTCCACTGTCGTTCGAGAATGCGCCAGAATAACCGGTTCGGATATATTGCCGGTTCGACGACATATCATAATTATCGACTAACTGCACAAATAATATTATATTTAGCTTTAGAAATATATTATTATTTAAAACTCATCCCCTCGTAAAATAGGTTAACTAATCTTGTATATATTATAAAAAAATATATAAATGTGTTAATTATTAAAATAACAAGTAAGAATAAATGAACATCACAAAGAGTTCTTAACTAATATTGATTTGTTTTTGTTTAAATTACACGTTCAACGGTACTGAGTCAACTTCCATGTGGTCTGAGTTCGGGATGGGCCCACAAAAATCAATTAGCAAGTTCCCCCTTCGCCCCTCAAACGGGTTGCAATTTGAAGCCACCCGAGTTTGTTGATAAAATAACGTATTTATTATAAGCACGTGTAGGCCAACATGAATTGACTTCAGCACGAATATCTTTCTTTATCCCTGACTTAATTTAAAAGCTGACCTTAGCTAATAACCCAAATCACGTTTATGCTATTGAAACAGGTGTTTCTCGTGTGGACTAGTTTTTAGGCTAACGGGGAATTTTTAATAGGAAAGATTTTTGCAATCAACAAAACAATGTGTGTTTCTTTCTAATATAAAATTTTTTAAAAATAATATTTTTTACATTTTATTTAATAGCATTTTATACAGACGCTAGCCACAACAACAATTCACGTATACTACGTACGAAGTAAGAAGTTATTTTACATTTCCAGAACTTAGTCAGGTTTTCAACCAGGGATGAATGAGGTGTAGAATGTATACTTTTACCATTTCGACCCTGTAATTAAAAATGCATATTTATCAAGGTGATCATTTAAAACTTCATCTATTGTACGCTTTTTATTATTAGTAGACAAAAAACATCATTTAAACTTAAAATTAGTATAATCAAATGTAAATTATTTATCATATTCTAATCAAAAACTTCAAATAAGTCGAAATTCTAAATTTCATATAAAAACTAGAATTATTAGTTTCGTTTTTAGTTTCTTTTATAATACTTAAATAATCTATACAGTCTATACTATATTTTATGTTTATCAATGTGTTAAAAGAGAACTTTTAATGCGCTTATTCATAGCATTTCCCAGAAGCATTAAAGAGCTGATAAGCTTTCTTATTATGTGGATTGTCAGCTTGAATAAGAACTAAGTTTTGGTTTAGCAAAACACATTATGGGGCTTTATAAAATAAATAATTTAATTCAAAAATCGTAGCTACAGTGTAAAACTTTTCCTAGAGCCTTCTTACATGAAATCCGAGAATACCGGTAATGAAACATTCCGGTTGGATGGGAAAGGGACGTGCATATCACTCACGGGTGAAAACTGCCGTACCACCCTTTCGATCCAGTAGCCGTAAATCGAAAGATCCGTGATGATGCTCGCGCTCTCGCACTTATTGTTTATCCAACTTGAGATGCCCAACTGGACGTAGCGGTCCTTCTTGTTGTACATCATTTTTTGTATCTGCGGGCCGCCGGAGTCACCATGACACAGACTGCTGTCAGTGTTGCCGGCACAGATCTGTCCGGAGGTCAAAGGTGTATTAAAGATATGGGTGCATGTCACATTGGGTAGTCGGTTGATTCGCATTGTCTGGAGAACGTTGCTCGACCTGCTGGTTTTGGTCTTTCCCCAACCGGTAGTGGTAAACCAGGTCAAATGATCCACCTGTACTTTCATCTGATCGTCTACAAATATGCAGATAGGCAGAATGTGAGCTATAAAAGAAGAAGAATAATCTTGATTAGAGAAAAAGAAAATCTATACTGGCATTAACTTAACCCACCATGATATTCCACCCTACTCCCAAGACGCAGCAAACCGATGTCGTTGCTATGCTCTTGAGAATTGTATTTCATATGCTTGAAGGCCATGTCCACATCGTACTTTTGGGCCCTTCCCTGACACCAATAGCCAACGCAGTCCACTTTTGTTTTTATATTGTACTCGCCCAGGTGAACCGTTCTGTAAGTAAACAATTATTATCCGTTCTTTATAGACTCCAATTGTTTTTAATTTTCATGTTTCTTAATAGATTACTTACATATTTAAATCATCGGGAATGCAATGAGCCGTCGTCAAAACGAACCCTGAAAGGTAATCTTTTAGTATTAGCTTGACAAGAGTTCAAATTTTCAACGTACAGTGATTAATAAGCGTGCCAGCGCAATTATATTCGGTTGGGGTTTCCAAAAAAGCCATCCATGGATTTTTTGCCAATTCTGCATTATCACCGTTAGATATCCTAGGACCCCAACTACGTACAACTCCACAATCCTCATCCAAGATTGGAGATTTCTGTCCTTGTACTTGTAGCCACAGGGAGGCTATTACTGTTATGACGATGACGGAGTACATCATTGCGCCGCGAGCTATTCACATCAACTGATGCTGCGATTCTTGAGAGCAGGCCGCAGAGGCATTCTTATCGCCGGACAATTCCGGGGAATAACCTATGTCCACTGAGAGAATATAGCTAAGCAATGACTTACGAAGAACATTTTGTAGTTATGACTCATGTTGAGTATTCAGCATTCAAAGGTCAATAAATTTCTCAAGATAAGCTTATTTTTATATATATTTGGCGTCCATAATAGTATAATGTGTGTCTTAGTTTGACGTTGTATAATATTTTTTTCTCAATATTATCGAATTACCAAAGATTTTTCAAATCGGAACATTATTTCGGTATTTATGAAGAAATTTAGCTTATAAGGCCTTACATGGGCAGTGACGTCACTATCAGTTACTCAACATGCTTTCTCTGACAATAGGTGGCGCTTTGTAAATTTCCCCTAACAAAATAAATATTTTAAAATTGTGTAAAACAGTAACGGGTATCTTATAGTCGCGGCACTCAATTATAGCGTTTCTTCTTGTTTATTTTAAATTTGTTGTTTTTGATTTTTCGATGAAACAATATGTGTACTACGTGTTTTTAATATATATTTCTTTATTTAACTGTTTAATACTTTTATGTTATTATACCCTGGAATATGTCCGATTGTCCTTGGGACCATAATAATTAACTATTTGCTTTATCCAGTCGCCATACATCCCGACGTTCGTAAGAATGCTAATCCTCCTACATCCCGTTTTGGTATAGCTGGCGATTCCCATCTGAACGAAGCGCTCCTCGCCGTCGATTTCCATCATTCGCCCCTGTGGACCACCGGAGTCACCCTCGCATAGATTACTGTCATCATTGCCAGCGCAGATTTGTTCGGAAATTAAACGTTGTTGGAAACCCAAGAAGCAATCTATATTCTTGCGGCGGTTTACGCGCAGTTCTTGGAGAGTGCGACTCGTTTTGGCATTGGGTTCCTCAGAGGTTCGGCCCCAGCCGGTGGCCATGAACCACGAGTACTGATTCACCATCCACTTTGCATTGTCACCCACCATAATGCAGATGGGTTGGATGTGAGCTAAAGACGAAATATACATCACGATTAGAAGGATATTTGACGTTGGCGTATACTTTACCCACGTAAATATTCAACTTTCATGGTCAGCTTTAGCAATCCGATGTCATGGACGTAGTCATCGTTATCGTAGAGTTTGTGCCTGAAGGCCGTGTCCACATAGTACTCCTGGGTAGGGCCCATTTCCAAACTATTCTCACGGTCTATCGGAGTGTCTCTATTATATTCACCCAAGCGAACAATTCTTAAATAAATTAAATATTTATTAGTGTTTGATTAAAAATTTATGCCAGAAGCTTACTTACAAATCTATAGTGACGGGAAAGCAATGAGCCGCTGTCAAGACGAACCCTGAAAATTGTATATTTATTAATTTTTAAAGAAACTAGAATATGATTTCTTAGCAAACGAACAGTGATTAATAAGAGTTCCGGCGCATTTAAAATTTGTTGGGGTGTGCAGGAAGGCCATCCAAGGATAACGTCCCAATCCAGCAGGCTTCGCATGTGTCATCCTATAGCTCGAATCAAATGTCAACCCACAATTTGGCTCCAAGTACTGGGATGATGATCCTTGAACTCGAAGCCAAAGCCACACGATTATTGCGAACCCAGGGAATACAGTCTTCATGACGCCTCAAGTAGTTCTCCAATACTAATTCTTCAAATTGGAGAGCCTTGTTTGGTTTCATTATCGCTGGCATTAGTCAGAAAAATAACACAGTGGTGACTCTTATCACTTACTCACTCATATGCAATTCAAAAATCCCCAAAAGTAAATTCTTGTCTTGACAGAAAGAAAGCTAAGTTTCAAATTATATTTCCCAATTTTTATACCCGTTACTCGTAGAGTAAAAGGGTATACTAGATTCGTTGAAAAGTATGTAACAGATAGAAGGAAGCTTTTGTGACCCTATAAAGTATATATATTCTTGATCAGGATCAATAGCGAAGTCGATTGAGCCATGTCCGTCTGTCCGTCCGTCCGTCCGTCCGTCCGTCCGTCCGTCCGTCCGTCCGTCCGTATGAACGCTGAGATCTCAGGAACTATAGCAGATACAAAGCTGAAATTAAGCATGAAGATTCTTGAGGTCCCGGGACAGCGCAAGTTTATTACAGCATCCTGCCACGCCCACTCTAACGCCCACAAATCGCAAAAAACTAAAATTGCTGAAATCTCAGGAACTATTGCAGATAGAAAGTTGAAATTCAGAAAGTATAATCCTTAGATGACAGCGCATCTTATAGTGGTACTACTATCCGGCCAAACCCACCCATACGCCCACAAGGCTCAAAAGACGGTTTTCGGATTTTCTAGAAAAGCTGATATCTCGGTAACTATAAGAGATAGAAAGTTCGGATCAAGCATGTATATTTCTATGATGCTCCCAATGCGAATTGTTTTTTTCCGATCACGCCACGCCCACTCTAACGCCCACAAAACCCGAAAAACCAAAAATGCAAAAATCTCGAAAACATTAAAAGCTACACAATTTTGCTTAGGAACACGTATTTAGGAGATGCCTCTGCAACTTGCCACGAAGTTGCATCCGGCCACGCCTACTCTAACGCCCACAAACCGCGGAAAACTGTGGAGTCTATAATATTATTATGAATGCCTTCGTTTGACCTTGTGTAACTTATTTCTGTTAATATCTATCGATTTACAAAAGATTTTTCAAATCGGAACATTATTTCGCTATTTATGAAGAAATTAAGGTTATAAGGCTCCACATGGGCAGTGACGTCACTATAAGCATACTCAACATACTTCCTCTGACAATAGGTGGCGCCTTGTGAATTTCCACTAGCAAAATTAATATTTTAAAATTGTGTAAAACAGTAACGGGTATCTTATAGTCGCGGCACTCGACTATAGCGTTTCCTCTTGTTCTGTTTAAAAATCATGAAAAAATAAGAGTAACTTAGTTCTTTATAATATTTATTAAATATTCACTTAATTTTTTTATTGGAAATATTTTTATTTCAAAATCTAGTAGTTCTAATTATAATGTTAAATCGGTTTTGGATCATAAAAAGAATGGCTAAAGAGTGTAACCACATCCTGTAGCCACCAGTAGTAACTCAACACATCGGTGTAACCCTGGGCTTCCTGGCACTCCATGTTGCCCAAGGACGCGATACCAAACTGAATGTGCCTCTTTTCTTTCATATATTTAATACTTTGAGTTAAAGCTGAGCCGGGGAGTCCATTACAGGAACCCAAATTCCCCACGATGCCGCCAGCACAGAACTGGGTGTACAAATCTAAACCTCTGCAGAACTGCGGCTTACGTTGAATGGCAATGGGGCCATACTGGTTCTCTTGGTCTTGACCCCAGGCTCCTCCGATGAACTCATTCACGGACAACTTGCGCTCTGGGTCTAGTAAAATGCAGATCGGCTTTATGTATTCTGTGGATGATACTTGCAGTTAGAGAAAATCCTTATAGTCGTACTGCAAAAATTACCTTTTAAATCCACATTTTTAGTTAGCCTCAGTAGACCTATGTCGTTGGAGAGGGTTTTATTGTCGAAATGACGATACCTGAGGGAAAACTGAACCATGTGATCTTCAGCGAGCTCGTTTGCTTGTCTCCCAAACGCTCCTAGGCGAACTTCGCTACGGAGAATTAAATTTAATCATTAAGTTTATAAATAAACACTGCTTAAAAATCAATTTGATATACTTACATAACAGCATTAGCTTTAATACAGCTGGCAGCAGTTAGTATAAACCCTAAAAATTAATTTCAAAATCATATTACTTAATAATGCTTCTGGTTTACGAGTATACACACTGTTAGTGATGAGTGTCCCGGAACAAAAGATATTTCCCTTCTCGTGCAGTAGAGCTGTCCAGGGACCGAGGGTTTCTCCAGAATTTTCTCTCCTAAATCCGCATTCTTCATAAAGATAATGCGCCGATCCGTAGTTGGAACAGATAACCAACAAGCCAACCAGCACTTCGATACCAGTTACTCGCATGTTCATTGCGATTGAAACAGCGAGCATGAACTAAACCACTGAAATTCTTTTACAAATGATTGCCTTTTGAAAAATCCTCTCAGTTTCTCTTTTGACTTTATCAGCAAACTGGCTGGCATTTAGGGTCACTCCGATTATTCATTGGAAAACATAATGAAACATTTCTATAATAAGATGACTTTTGTATGGCAAGAATTTTGAAAGCATTGCAGAGAGTTCTCAGAACTTTAACTTTAACTTTTATTCTTTTCAAACAAATTTAATTCACTTTAAAAAGAAATATTTATTTAAAAAAAACATAATTACTAAAGTGATAAGATTCTTTTGAAACATAAATTGAAATTTTTAAAATGTTAAGTTCTTTAAATTAATTTCCATTTATCCTTATTGAGGATTTAATCCAATCAATGTAATTAGGCACAAAAGTATAGACTCCTGGACTCATACACTTGTTAGGGCCGTAGCTCACGATTCCCAGCTGCAGGTAGCGGTTAACCCCGTCCAAATTCACCTTGGCCACCAAAGGTCCGCCAGAGTCGCCTTTGCAGGTGTCCCGATTATCAAAGCCAGCACAAATCTGATTGCGGGTAAGTAAGGAACCAAAAAACCCGTTGCAGTAGTCCCTGCTGTACGGTTTTAGTACTGTGGTCTGAAGGACGTTGGAAGTTCTAGCGAAGGCGGTACTTCCCCATCCGAAGGCAATATATTCATTCACTCGGGGCGAATTAGCCGGATTAAGAATAAGGCAAATGGGCTGGATATGTACTGGGGAACAGAAAAGTTAATTCATTTAAATATAATATCCCAATGAATAAAAATTTCAAAATTACTAGCTACAACTCACTATTAAACCTGATGTTCCTAGTCAGTTTGATTACAGCAATGTCATTTTTTATTGAACTTTCATCGTAGTATGCATGTCTCGATGCCATTTGAATCTCATACTCCTCAGATCGTGGAGAACAAATGTTTGGCCCCTGACAGTCGGGATTCGAATTAGTATCATGTTCCCCCAAACGCACTTTCCTAAATCGCAGAATCAAAAGTTTATAAAACAGTTTATTCTGCTAAGAATTATACTCACAGACGTGGAAAGATACAGTGAGCGGCAGTCAGTATATATCCTAAAACCATTTTCATTTAATAAAGATAATATTAGGGCTTAAATTGTAATTCACATACTTGAGTTAATGATCGATCCGCCGCAAAACAAATCGGTTGCGTTGTACAAATACGCCATAAATGGGGCTGATCTTAGTACAGCATCTTTACCGTTCATGATCCTTGGGCCGAGAAATGGTTCATAGGACACCCCACAGGTTGGATTCAGGAACACAACGCTCTCCACCATCTGCTGAAAGATCAGGCAGATCACAAGCGAAGCTAAAGAAGTTCTCATATTGCTTGACGGATCCGTAGTTACTAAACTCAATGGAACTGACGATGCTGATTAAATATGCTTGGATTATAAGCTTTTAAATGGAAATGGAAAACCAACATTTCATTTCCAAGAACTGTAACTTCGACCTTCTGGATTTCTGCTATGTAGTTAAAATATGATCATCTTTTATTATTTTTTTTCTATTTTGAAGAGTTTTACAAAGGTCAATATCTATTTTCGCTGCCTAATGTCCATATGTCTGCATAACGTTTTGGATCCAACTAATATAATTCGGAACAAACGTATATACGCCCGGATTTCTGCAAAGTAGTTCGCCATAACTCACGACACCCAGCTGCAGATTACGGGTTATTCCATCGTAGTTGACTTTGACTACCAGAGGTCCTCCGGAGTCGCCATGGCAAGTATCGGTATTGGGACTCCCAGCACAGATCTGATTTTGAGTGAGTGGCAATGACAGGATATTTTGGCAATAACTGGAAGCATAATGAATTAGCGTCGTAGTCTGCAGGACATTCGAAACACGACCTCTTTCGGTCCGACCCCAACCAAAGGCCTGGTATTGATTCACGTTGGGCGAATGAGCTGGATTAAGGAGCAAACAGATCGGTTGAATATGTTCTGAAGAGAAAGATATTTAATACATTTAGTTTGATACTAAGGCCATTGATCATTAATCTAAAAGCTTTACCTTTAAACACAATGTTCCTGGTCAGCTTAAGCATAGCAATGTCGTTGGTCAATGTTCTACCGTACATTTTATTTCTGATGGCCCTTTCAACATCAAACTCCTCAGCAGGAGGTGAACAGGACGCGCCCTGACAGTCGGATTTAGTGCTTACATCGTGTTCCCCCAGTCGAACCTTTCTGAAATTGAATATCAATAGCTTGTTGTTTATCATATGGATTTAGTGTAAGAAAGAAATACTTACATTTTGGGTTCTATGCAGTGAGTGGCAGTTAGAATATATCCTAAAAATAAAGAAGTATTTAGCACAAAAAATGATAAATTCATAAATTTCAATGTACCAACTTTGACTGATTATTGATCCGCCGCATGTAAGTTTGTTAGACACATACAAATAAGCCATATACGGAGCCGATTTAATTATGGCAGTTGATCCGCGCATTATTCTGGTAGAAAGATTTGACTCATAGGATACTCCACAGGTGGGATTCAGAAAATAGGCAAACACCGCCGTCTCCTGAAAAGTCAGGCACAAAACAATGCAAATCCAAGCCGGGAATGTCTTCATTTTGCGTGACTGAGTGTTGGTTACTGAACTCTTGGCAGCTGGCGTTACTTGTTAAATGAGAATCGAGCAGAGAGCTTATCGGAAATGCAATTCGATTGAAATATAAGCAATACACTGAAAAAAATGATTAATATTTCGAGGGACAAATTGGAATTAGTACTTTTGATATAAAAAAACTTTTATAACTGAAATTTTTATTTATTTATTCATTATATTAATCAGTAAAATTTCCATTTAGACTTGATATATCAAATAAGAGACTCTGAATGCGTTAATGGATTAAAAGATAACTTTGAAGAAATTGTGTAGTTAGTCAACATTTTTTACCAAGTAATGGATTTTACTTAAGTTCAAGTGATTTTTTCTTTATCAGTTCACAGAATTAATTCTATATATGTACGTATATTAAAAAATAACTCATACTACGTTATTTATTACGTTTCTTTAAATTAAATAAGCATCCATATATCAAAAAGTAATCTGACTATCTCTGGTCATCTGTGGCCATGGCATTGAATATAATCTGACAGATCATTTATTGGGCCATTTTGGTGCAGTTACATTGGTGTTTAGCCGCACAATTTTTTCAATCCAATCGATATAGCTGTAGACGTCCGTGTAAACGCCGAGTCCATCGCAATCCCTACTGCCGTAGCTGACCACACCTAACTGCACCGATACCACCTTTCCTTTGTGGTGCACACTCCGGACGAGCGGACCACCGGAGTCACCGCCACACGTATCGCCTCCGTTGCTTCCGGCACAGATTTGACTTTTATGGATAAAGTTGCGAAGATTATTAACACAGCGTTGTGGATCGTAACGGTGAAGTCTAACGACCTGGAGCACATCTATCGTCTTGTTCGTATTGGTTTCGCCCCAGCCAGTGGCTATAAACCACTGAAGTCGATCGATTTTAGCTCTCAAATGGTTATCCAAAATTATGCATACGGGTCGAATGTGAACTGAAAAAGGAAAGCTTAGTGTTTTCTTAAGGAAAACTTGATTCTTAGGACCCACTTTTATATTTCACAGCTCGTTCCAAGCGAAGCAGTGCTATGTCATTCACATGACCGCGAAGAGAATACTTTCCATGTCGAAACGCCATGTCAATGTTGTACTCCTCGGTTTTCAAGTTACAGATCTTGTCGTCGCAGTCAAGTATGGAGCTAGCATTATACTCTCCGAGACGAACCTTTCTGATCAAAGCAAATCATTAGGAAATATGCCTTTAGGGTGGAACACAATTTGATTTCTCTCAAAGAAAAATTCCTTACACTGCCATTCCATTACCAACACAATGCGCTGCTGTGAGGACAAAACCTATTCAAGGAAACTTACGTTACAGATCAAATAAAAATTCACATTCAAGAAATACCCACGATTAGTAATAAGACTTCCGCCGCAAATTAGTTTCGTTGAGGAATGGATGAAGGCCATCCACGGATATTTATTTATTTCCGCATCCTTGCCGCCACTTATTCTAAAACCAAAACTCACACTACAATCTGGATCCAAATATTCACCAGCTGCCAGCATAGAGCCTACTCCTATGGCGAGCACTGTGATCGCTATAATAACACCCCTCATCGCGACGATTTAATAGCCGACTGTTCGAGCTGGAAGTTGATCTTCACCATATATATGCTCATAGAATGCTTATCTCAAAGTCATTCATAAAATTCCCAATGCGGCATCGGAATGCCCTTACACTAATCTTGTATTTTAAAGAATTTCATAAAGCTAATTTAGGTTTCACAGAAAATTTATTAGAGTTTTGCTCTTCGGTGTTTTTTCATAAATAACATTATTTTCCGATTATAGCGATAAGTTATGAATTCCTGAGCATATTACCAACCAGGAGTCATTCGAAAATAATACTACCTCTTATTATAGTGCTTATAGTGAATTCTTTGAATTGAAGAAGAAAGCGTTTCCGGTCCTAAAAACCATAGAGTATAAAGTCATTTTCCTGTGTTCGTATGTCTATACCATGTCTATGGGAATCTCGGGAACTGGAAGGGTTAGATCGTTGAGATTATGCAGATTTTCACGCCCTCTCCAACACGACCCAATTTTATTATTCTTTTTGTTAGTTGTTTTTTGCTAAAAATATGTTAAATCGTATAAATTCTTAATAAATTTGTAAGTCATTTAAATTAAAAAGATCTGAAATGGTTTCTTCATACTTTTGTAAACACTTTTAAAAATTATTATACCTCGCACTCTTCCATAGTCAAGGGAAAATTTCCAAAAAACAGGTATCGATACATGTACTTTCTAGAGGGCGGGTTACCCTTTCCGGAAGAGGGTGGCTGACAGGCGGGCCGAAAAACAGGGTCAAACACCCGAAGGGAAGCCATGGCAACGTGGCCAGGACACGGGTCTTGGGACGGGTGTGGTTTTACCTTTGTTTACAAGCAGCCCAGGCAGAAAGTGTCAGGATTTGAGAAAGCGAAGCCAGAATGAGCACGCGAAATGTGATGATCACGGACCTGGATCAACCAGATCCGGAGCAACACCAGCAGCAGCTGCAGCCGAAGAGGAACCGGAAGGTCCTTCAGACGCTGTCGGGTAACTTTAGTCGTCGCTCACGTAGCGTAGAGGTGGAAGTGAAACAACGACAGGATATCTCGGGCTCTGTGCAAAAGGACCGCAGGAAAGAGCGATCCTTCAACACGTTGGTAAGCTCCTAAAGAAGTCCCATATGATTCCCTGATAACTACCATGCAAAATTAACACAGTTGCAGGCCAAGGAACAGCAATTGGAACAGCTTGTCCAGCGGTTAGCCACCCTGCATCGGTACAACGACCAATTCGCCAAGGAGAACGACCAACTCCGACAGGATAATGGTCAACTGGAACGGCGTCTGGCTGAGGCAGAGCAGCAGGTGGCCAACTGCACTCGCTGCCAGCAGCTTGGTCAGCGCATGGACACTGTTCTTGGACAGAATAAAACGCTATCCAGTGACGTGGACATGCTTAAGACCCTTGTCTTCAGACTAAATGTGCAGATCGAGAGCTACCAGGACCAAAGACGACACGGGGAGGAAGCTTTACCATGTGGAGGATCCGCGAAAGCAAACTCGTCATCTGCATCATGTCCACCGTTACCAACCCACACGCTGGGTCCACTCCTGCAGGCCTACGATGAGTCATTAAGGGATAAGGATGCACTCTTGGCTCAATTTAACACTGAGTTCGAACACTTTACCGGGGAACTAAAGAGAGCTTTGGAGGAGAACACCAAACTGGTAGGAATTTAGACAACGCTTAGGAAATGGAATTTAACCTTAAACCCCATCCCATACAGCTGCAATCCCAGGAGCAACTGCGCCGCGATCTTGGCGGCTGGCGTGAAGAGCGCGTGTGCCTACAGGCCCAGTTAGGCGTTTGCCGCTCCAAGGCAGAGGCCCAGACCCGCAAGACAGACTTGGCCAAGGAAAAGCTGGTGGAAGTGATGCACTGCTATGAACAGCGCACGCAGACACTGCTTCTGGACATGGACCACCTGCAGGCTGCTTATGCGCGAACTAAATCAGAATTGGCAGCCCTTAAAAGTGTTCCATCTGCTCCTGCACCTGCACCTGCTCCGGTTCAACAACCTGTTCCCGCCGAATCGGAAGCTGTGAATCAGTGCAAAGCCCTGCTGGAGCAATTGAGACAGGAGCACGCAAGGGAGCGAGCCTCTCTCCAGGATCAGCTGCAAGCAACAACCGCACGAGCAGCTTCACTCGTCCGTAGCACCGAGAAGGCCAAACACGGTAGAGATCGGCTAAAGGCTCGCCTGAGAATGGCTCTGCAATGGGCGCAAAAGCTAGAGGCTGGTCAAGCCGAGGTACGCGACACATATGAGTCGGTGCGTCGTCTGGAAGTGCTTGTCCAGCACAAAGAGTCGCAACTTCGCGGACTCCACGCCCGAAATGCTGAGGAGCTGGACAAGTTGCGCCACAAACTGCAGCAGAAGGACGAAACGATACGCACGCTGCTAAGAGGCAAGATGGAGCGGAGACCAGCGGTGGATTAACTACTAAAATATAGTTTTTAACAATTAAAAATATATAATTTCAATACAAAATACATTAATAACTTAGCGTAGAAAGCTTTTGAAGCACAGCAGTCCGGGATCAGCCGGACTCGACCGGTTCGGAGAGCGTCTCGTCCGTAGGCGCTCCCGATCCGGAGCCGGAGCCTGCGCACACCACGCAGGCCTTGGGCACCGTCTGCTCTATGTACAGTGTAATCCTTTCCAGTACCTCGGGAACCACGGAGCACATTAGCTGCTCGTAACGCTGGGATCCCAGCTGTGCCTGCAACGACTGCAGCTGCCATTTGAGATACTCGGTGAGGGGGATCTTGTAGACGGGGTCTTTGAGGATCAGCTGCCGGTGTCGATCGTCGTGGTAGGTCTTGGTCGGATAGGCTTTGCCGTGAAAGTCCTCGCCACCGCCACCGCCTAGCTGCTGCTGAAGCTCGTCCAGTTCGTGCTCGTCATGTATGACCAATGAGTCGTAAAAGCGTGGCGTGGTCTTGGACGCACCCTCCTCGGCAGCGGCATACTGCTTGTCCATTACCTCCCCTAGTGTCTCGTCCACCAGCTGCAGAATATGGGGAAGGCGAGCAAGAAGCAGTTCGTTGCTGCCGAAGATCGATGCGAAGGCCAAACAAAAAAGCTTACGCTTCTCGGCGTGCGTGTCTGGTACCTTTGGGAACATCTCAATCCACACATCGAGGATACAGGCTAAAGCGTCCGCTTGCGGTAACTGTTGAACTACCGACATGAAAACGGCCTGGTCGATGAGAAGGGTGCGTGCCACGATCGTGAGATACCATCCCATAGTCATCGGATACTCCTGCTTAAGGCACACCTGCTGGAAGACGAAGGGCAGTGCCGGTCGCACCAGTCGTAATCCCATCGCCGCGTCCGTCTTCAGGCATGTCTCGAAGATGCGCAGCATGGCGATTATGCCTTCGACACGAATGTCCTCGAAAGAGCGTACGCAGTACGCAACGAATCCTTCACCGTACCGACTCAGATAGGCCTGAGCATCTAGTAGTATATAGGCGTGGATCAGCTGCAGAACGGTGCGCAGATTCTCTGATGACATCTCAATGATGGGCAGCAGGTGGTCGCATAGCGCAAGTAACTCGGGCGTCAACGCCGTTGAATTTCCAATCACCGCCAGCCAAAGCATAATACCATCCTCGATGAGGTAGACGTGTGAGTGTTGCTGCGGACATAAAAATGGTTCGTCAAAATTGCATATAAAAAATTCTTAAATATACATAAATGCTAAAATAATACTAAACTCATGATTAATTTTATATTTTTTTTTAAATTACCCATAAAAATACTTTGAAGATTAATAAAAACTTATCTTTGCAAGCAAATAAAAATATATTATATATATAGAATATATTAATGTTATATATTGATAAGAGTGGTTGGTTTCTATTCAATTATTTCATTCTAGCTAAACCGCCGAAGGAAACTGAACTCGTGATAGAGTCCAAATGAAATCAGTGTGGATTTTGGTATTCGCTGTGCTTATTTTTCAACAAATGAAGCTAAAAGCCCAGTTTCTAGAACCCGATTGCGGAACCACCATCAACCTTCCAGCGACAACAAGAATCGTTGGGGGCAGAGATGCAGAAATAGGATCGAGTCCTTGGTTAGCATATTTGCACATCAACTCGTTTTTAATTTGTGCTGGCACTTTAATCACAAGAAGTTTGTAGTTACTTAATACAACAATTTATTATAGTTAAGTTCTGAACTTAATCATCTTTTCTCCTAGGGTTTGTATTGACCGCAGCGCACTGCATGGATCAGGCCCATATGTTGTAAGTAGACAGAACTCCTAATTTGTGCAGGAAGATCTTAAGATCCTTCAACGCAGAACGGTTCGTCTGGGGGAACATGATATATCTACAAAATGGGATTGTACAATGTACATTTGCATGCCCCCTTATGAAGAGTATGAGGTAGAATATGGCTACCGACATTATTTATTCGATAAAAATATAGGACAGAGCTACGATATTGGATTGCTTAAACTTAAGGGGACCGTCGAGTTTAAAGGTAAGATGCAAAGAATTATAAAACACATTATTTTAATACCCAAAACTGTTTTGCAGTTCACATCCGACCGATTTGTTTGATCAAGAATCCAAATCAGGTCCGCCATAGTGCCACATACGAAGCCACGGGTTGGGGTAAAACCGACCTTATCAATTCGGCTACTACTTTGCAGACAGTGACCTTGATCAAGCTAAACCCCAGCGAATGTGAGCGATCCCTGCGTACTTCCTTAGGTTGGGGACAGATCTGTGCAGGTAAGAGACGAGCGGACACTTGTAGTGGTGACTCGGGTGGCCCGCTGGTGCACAGAATGTCAAATGGCCAAATAATCCGGACCATTCAATTTGGAATAGTCAGCTATGGCAACAAATTGTGTCGCGGACCCGGAGTCTACACAGATGTCTTGAATTTTACGAACTGGATAGTAGACGTCACTCGCTGGGCCTCCTATTCTTAGGAAATTTTCGACTAAAGTCATGACAACTTAAAGCAAATTGAAATATACATAGAAAACTGAGCAACCTTTCTAGTTAAAGCTCCTACCTTAGTCGCAAATTTTATATTTATGCATAGCTCACCTGGAGGTCAGTGCTCAACTCGATAACGCTGTAGAGGAAGGGCTTCATTGGCTCTGGGACATCCCTAATAGTTCGTACGAGCTGCTCTAGGGTACCAATGATGGCGCAACGCAAGAGGTCGTACTCTTCGCTCTCGCGCCAAAGAAGCGGCAAATACGCAATGAACTGAAGCGCTTGCGGCTCAATGTACTCGCTCATCTTCTCTACAAGTAGCGTCATGGTTCCGAGAACAACGATCTTTGTGTCGCACTCGCCGGCCTCATGGAGCAACAGGAAAAGGGCCTCGAAGAGCGATGGGAAATACGGATGAAATGCCTCCGGCATGAATTCAAAGTCGTCGATCAGCAAATTTAAAGTCCTGGCAGCTGCCAGCCTCGTAGGCATGTCTTCCTGCGGTCGAAGAAGATGCAGGCAGGCCTCGTAAGCCAAAGGGCGTAGCTCTCTGGGTAACTGCACGCCCACCCAGTGGCCCACCAGCCAAATGATCCGACGACGAAGGATACGAAAATTGGGAGCTTCTATGCGCAGCTCTGCCAGCAACTGCGATGTAAGCCAGGCTCCAAAATCCAGTTTGTTAAAGAAGTGGAAGGCAGCCTGCCCTACGGCATTGTAAATGGCGTCTTTCAGGAGGATGGCCTTCAGATCAGATTCCGGGGTAAGCTGCAGCTGTTGGGCGCGTCTAACAAAGCGAAGAACCTCCTGAATCATTACTTGCGAGTGTTGCGTAAAACAGGTGAAATATAGAGTCTCCACACTGGGCCTTAAAGCGTACTTCCAGGCATCGCCACCGCCGTCATCCTGGTCATAGCCTTCCGGATCCTGTTGCCATTCCTCCAACTCTTGCTGCGTGAGCAAAAAATAGTGCGTCACGATCTTCTCGCATATATAGGTCACTCTTTCCGCCGTGAAGAACTTGGCATGACTCTGGGCAGCACTGGCTAACAGCTCTTCCTCTATAGAAGCTCCACCCTCGGGCGGAGCACTGATGCTATCGTTGCCGCTCAGCATGATACCTTTAAGCATGTTTAGCGCTTGTATTGCAAAGTTATCAAAGTTGATGCGATTTCCAGCATCGAAGATAAGGGCGGTGCCCTCATGGAACACATAGTGGAAGCTGAACTCCAAGGCCACCGGAACGAACCTCGCAAAGGAGACCGAATGCCGCTCCATCAGTTCATTGAGGGTCTTCATCATCTTAATCACAAAGCGCTCCAGTTCGGTGAGTATCGCGGCAGTTCCAGGCGACGCTGATCCCATCCTCAGTTCATAGCGCAACTCTAGGCACTGACGCAGCCGCTGGAAGAGCTGCTCCACAAAGTTCATATGATCTGTGGATTTGTACGGCTTAGCGCAGCCGTAGACTACAAGTTTTCGTAAGGATCTCATCACTACATAGGTCCGCTGCAGAGCACTGAGAGCCAAGGCTTCCTCCTTGCGAACGAGCTGCAGGAAACGGGTCGTTAAAGGGGCCCATATGTCCCAGGCCAGATAGGCAAAGATCTGTGAACCCAGCTCTTCGAAGGCTCGCTGCTCGGCCATAAGTCGCCGGGACGCCAAGGCCTTGAGGACATAGTGCAGGACAATGAGAATACGCTGCTGGAGGGCAGATTCCGCATCCGAATTGCAAGCTTGTAGCTGCTTCATTAGTGTGGGAAGCAATTCCGGCCAGAATCGCGGATAGTCCGTTCGTGCAAGGCGACCCAAGAGCACGGCTATCTGTAGGGCCACCTGGGGCACCTCTTCCGCATCATAATGTCGCAACAAAACCTCGCGGATCTGCTGTTTTTGATCGGCGGGCAGCTCCTGCCGTGAATTGGGCCGCCAGTAGCGCTCTACGCCATTCTTCAAATAGACTGCCGCCATCCAACGCACCTTTACCTCGGAGTCCTCCGTGCTGGAGGTCCCGCCATGCTGGGCATCGCTGCAATTGCTTCGCCGCATGCTCAGCCGGGCAATCGTGGGAAAAAACCCAGGCTGCTGCTCCCACTCACGCAGCTGCGCCTCCGCCTTCTGGACGATCTCGTGGCTCGGATTTGTGGCCGCCTGCAGTGTCTGGGCCACCAGCTGCTCCACGGACGCCCCTGCTCCCGCTGCTCCAGATCCTGCTCCCGTTGCCATTGCCATCTCACGACGCCTCCTCTTGCGACGATTTCGAGGGCGAAAATTATTGGCAAATTTCTGCGGCGCGTGCTGCTTCTTGCTTGAATTATAGTGTGACCGACCTTAAATGATGATTTTTAAGAACTGACCGGGAAAAATACTAAAATATTGTTTCCTAAATATATACATATTTAGCATTTTATATATGTAAGTTTTTTTTCTAATGAATATTTTAAATGTTTTTAGGACTATTATAGCAAATCGATTGTAATTCCTGAATTACAGGTACTCTATATCGATCTATATTTAGCTTAATTTCTCGAAAGTTGCTCATTAATTACCAAAAAAATTATTAACTAAAAAAATTATTTATAACTCAGATTTTTTCCAGTGCGACAATTTTGACAGCAAATTTTTTAAAAGCATATTATGTTAATAAATATCAAACTTTTGGTAGTCCCAACAAAATGTAAAAATAAATTATTATAATTAGCTTTTGGGTTTTCTGTATTTAGCTCGGTTCCCGTTAACTGGAAATAACTTAAATTTTTATTTAAAGAGTTTTCACTTAAACAAAAAAGATAGATCATATATTTAGATTTTTTCGGAAATTGAGTAACTCTTAGTCGGAAAACTTGACATTATCGCTCTTGGTTTTTATAGGTCACGCAGCGCAAAGCGTGTATTGATAAATTTCTTCTCAGTTTTCCTTCTTTGCTGTCAGTAAGAAGTTATATTTTGTCACGAAATAATGTGTTCCGTGACTCTCTCTATGTTAACTCTTATAGCTTTGGTGATTTTCCATAAAGGATTATCCCAGCTCTTGGATGAAAACTGCATCGACCAAGGAGGCTCTGCTTCTTGGATGGCAAGAATATACAGTACCATGGGTTTCGTTTGCAGTGGAACATTAGTTCACAAACGTGAGTTTTAAAAGCATTTTAAATAAAATCCTTCAAGTATATAAGCTTTAAACCATTTCTAGGTTTCGTCCTTACAGCTGCTCACTGTGTAAAGGGACAGAAAACACTGTAAGTACCCATTAGCTTTTGGTCATATTCAATTGAAGTATCCTGATTCCTTGGCTTAGATATGTGAACTTGGGCATGGCGTCATATTATGTACATACAGTTTCTATTCATCGGAATTTCAATGACACGACTAATGATATAGCAATGCTAAAACTAAACAATGAAGTTATTTTCAAAAGTAAGTTAGTGTAAAAGATATCAACGTCGTTTTCCGTTTAATCATTTACTTCCGCAGCTAACAACCGCCCTATTTGCGTTGTCTTAGATGATGAGGTTATATCAGCGGCTATACCAATATTCTCGGCTTACGGCTGGAATGAATCGGTTTCGGGATCAGGCAGTCAGCCAATCCTGCAAAGCCTTTATGTTACCCAAAAGAATGAGAACGAGTCGCAACATGGCCGGACGCAGATCTTGATCACTGGACGATCAGTCGATTCCGGCTCTCCACTGACGGCAACTTTAAATTACCGTGGAAAAATAATCATCGCACAGTTTGGGATCATGAGCTATGGCCATGATCCTAGTGTCTATACAGATGTTACGTCCTTTAAGACTTGGATATCTAGTCGAATTAAAGCATCTGAGCAAAATTAGCAGTTAAGAAAGTGAATGAAAAAAAAGCATAGAATTTACACCATCAAACAATCGCTCATAGAAAATAATGAAATTTGTGTCGAGGAACCATATTTGGGAACATTTCAAAAGATGAAAACCTTTTTTTTGAAATAATTAGTCAAAATATAAATGATTTAATACTTTTTACAAATATCCAAAGATTGGGAATACTTAGTAAAAATGTAAATTACAGTACTGATCGTATTGTATTTTTCAAAATTGTTGTCATATAATATTTGATAGTTTTTTTTTTTATAAAATTATGATGTTGAAATGAAAGGCTTTTACACTATAGCTCCGATCCAATCCATATAGCTCAAAACATTGGTATAGACGTCTGGTGAGTGGTCCTCGAGACGACCAAAACCGGCCAAGCCGACGAGTGTGAATGCCCTACTATTGCCGTGACGAAGCGGCTTGACCAAGGGACTGCCCATGGCTATGCTTACTGTATTAGGATGCTCCATGCACATTTGTCCATCCCCGATCTCCTGGTAATCCTGGTTGTAGCATTCGCTGGAAACCATCCGCCGAATAAGCTTCGCCTTCGATATGCCAACGACAGTGAGATTCTGCTCATCTTTCGCCTTCTTTTGGAACTTAATCTGCTCAATTTTGTTCTTAGGTGAGGGCAAACAAATTGGCTTTATCAATTCTACTCAGATTGAGAAAACAAATTATCGATAAGTAATTCGGTTTGCCTAAAAACTTACCTGTGTACTGGACTTTTCTCTCCAATTCAAGTAAAGCTATGTTATTCTTCCCAAGATCCACGAAATCATTGTGAATATGGACAGTTTTGACTTTGTAGGTGTCCTCACCCAATATAACTTTTCTGTAAAAAAATATTTTAAATAAAAAATGCCTTCTAGTTAGAAAATCAAACTACTTACAATGAACTATTGGCGGGTATAAACTGTGCAGTTGTCACCACAAAACCTAAAAAAAATATAATATTTTTAATCGAAAATAAAGGAAAATCATAGCAAGTACAAACGGTTGGATATGAGTGCTCCATAGGACAGCAGAAAAGAGTCAAAATAAACCTCAGCAAGCCATGGGAATGTATCTGGACCCGATCTTTCACTGGTTGGTAATTTTCCATCGTCTAGGCAACTTCTATCCAGCAAATCAATCTTTGGGAGTAGGACCTTGATATCTGACATCAAGACAATTTGCTTTATGAAGTCAATATGGCTCATTACATCGGTGTAGACACCTAATCCGCCACATTGCTCGGACCCATAACTAATGATACCAAATTGAGTATTTCTCCATACGCCGCCGTAGAAAGATTTCGAATACAAGGGACCTCCTGAATCACCTTGGCAAGTATCGGCCAAGTTTCCAGTGCCACCACATATTTGTGCGTCATTTAAAGCCCTCCAAAAGTGCCTAATACATCGTATTTTCTCGATTCTATTGATCTGAACACTTTTAAGTACATCACTTAGATCTTTACTCTCTGTTTTTCCCCAACCGGCTGCAGTGAAACGTTGTACATCATCTGTTCTAATTTTTTGACGACCATCCAACAGAACGCATATCGGTTTAATTTGATGACTGTAAATCACATTTCTTTCTAATTCCAGCAAAGCTATGTCGTTTGACGAATTGACATGTTCAAAATTAGGGTGTAAGTGAGAATTCACAACGCGAAAACGTTCATGTAGATGACCAGATTCCCGATCCGTTGTTCGATTATGAACTCCTAAGCGAACAAAGCTGTCAATTAAATAGAATTTCTAATTACAATTCATTCAGGAGTTGTGCTCTCAAATACTTTTGTTAGCTTAAATATTACCGAAAATTCACTGTAAAAACTTACAGATCGTTGTGTTTGTCTTTGCAATCATTTGATTTGCACATACAATGAGCAGCCGTCAAGACGAATCCTGTTAAAATTTTACAAATTAGTTATATATCCATGTCGAACTTCTCTCCGGAATACCAACGTTGATTGATAAGCGTTCCACCACAAACATAGTCATTCGCAGTTTCAACTACAGCCATCCAGGGATTAGAAAGGGGTGTCACCTCAGGACCATTAATAATTCTTTTTTTATAAGCATTTGAAACACCACAGTTCTCATCTAGAAGTAAGGCCGATCCTTGGGTTAGCATAAGGAAACCGAATAAAATAATCCATGCTGCCGCTGACACCGTCATCTCAGTTGAGAACAGCTTTTCAAAATGAAGTCGTTATTCATCAGCAAGAAGTCTATAAGCTGGTGTTATCAGTTGGGTTTTTTTGCTTTTATGAAATTCCAGCAAACCATTAAATTATATTTTTTTATTCACATACTTGTGCATATGACCTCATAGTAGATTATAACAAGAAGAAAATAAGTCGAAAAGATAATATTATTTTATACGATATGTATATATGTATAACAGAAAAACCTGTAAAATCATTATTTATATTCAATTATCAACAGATAAGGAGCATGAAGAATCTTGGGGCCACTGTTACGCCCACTAAGCTAGAAAGACGGTTTTCGTATTTTGGAGAAATGCTCGGTAAGGATTAAGTCAATTGTATTTTCCCATCTAGCCACGCCCACTCCAACGCCCACAAAACTCGAAAAACCGAAAATGAGAAAATCTCTGGAACTATAAGAGCTAGAAAGTTAAGCTTACGAATACGTAATTTAGAGAGGCCACTGCAGCTCGGCGCGAGTTTTCATCCAGCCACGCCCAATCTAACGTCCACAAACTGCGGATCTACTCGATCTACCAAAGATTTTCGAAGTCGGAACATTATTTGGCAATATATGAAGAAATGTCAGCTATAAGGCCTCACATGGGGCATGGTCCCACTGCCTTAAAAAACGTTAAATATTGGTATTTACTTACTTCCATAAAAATACTGAAAAAACACTGTGATGTTAAACGCATTCCAGTGCTGTTAAAAGCAATTGGGTCATGTGATAGAAACCAGCTGACCCGAACTTTTTTCCAGAGTCAGGTTTTATTTTCGCTGTTCACATCGCTCCCTGAAAAAATACAGAAAAATCCAACGAAATGGCTCTCCACTCTGCAATTAAGGGTAAGCTAATCAGCGTTATTGGCGACGAGGACACCTGTGTGGGATTCCTTCTCGGCGGTGTTGGCGAGATCAACAAGAATCGTCATCCCAACTTCATGGTGGTCGACAAGAATACGGCCGTCAGCGAGCTGGAGGACTGCTTCAAGCGATTCCTGAAGCGGGACGACATCGACATTATTCTAATCAACCAGAACTGCGCGGAGCTCATCCGTCACGTGATCGACGCACATACGTCGCCCGTTCCTGCTGTACTTGAGATCCCCTCGAAAGATCATCCTTACGACGCCAGCAAGGACTCTATTCTGCGTCGCGCTCGCGGCATGTTCAACCCTGAGGATCTGGTGCGCTAATTTCACGGATTCGTATCGAGGAGCTCCCATACACTGTTTCGTATTGCTGCTACCGTCAGAGTATTTGCTTTACAGCATGTAAACAACTATCCATAAATTCAGTGCTACGCCTTTGTTCTTTTTGTGTATTTAAAGACATTTATTAAATGGTTTTCGTTGTATAAAATAGATTAAAATCAAATTGTTCCAAATCATGTACTGGAAAATTAATTCAGTGTTGGGCTAAGCATAACTGGAGATTTCCCACTGGAAAGTATTTCTAGTGCTGTACCGGTAACAGTCTTCCAGCTCAGATACAGTGCGCACTCACAACTTAACTTAGATATTTGTTTGTGTAATGTTTATATTAATAGGGTAGTGATTTTCAATTTCCGTATAATTTCGCAGTAGAATTAATTATCAGTTTATTGCCAATATTACAAATAAATAAAAATAAACCTTTTCTGATGTGGATGATGATGTAGATTAATTAATACTTCGCTTTAAGAACAAAGAAGTTCATTTATAAAATACATTCACAGAAAATTGTCAAAACATTATCTATGGAATAGTAATGGAAGAAAATACTTAATTAATTAAATATTTATCAAGCATAAACAAACTTTATTATTTATACAAAATACATGCTTATGTTAAGTTAACGGCAATAAACTAGCGTGCTGTTAAGTCTGTTATCAGTTATTCCAAGGGCTGTTAGCGCAGTCAGCTGTTGTAGTACCGAATATTTTCTAGCAACGTAAACATAAAAAATACGTCCTGGTGAATCTGGCCACGAATTGATCGATCGGCATTAGTCACCTGTCCGCTGTACGCACATCATGCTGAAGGCCGTGATCCTGATCGGCGGTCCCCAAAAGGGCACCCGTTTTCGCCCTCTTTCTCTGGACACGCCCAAACCGCTTTTTCCCCTGGCCGGTCGTCCTTTAATCGCTCATCATATAGAGGCCTGTGCCCAATTACCGGACCTCCGGGAGATCCTGATTATCGGTTACTATCCACAGACCCAGATGGAGGGATTTGTGGGCGACATGCAGACCTTATACAGCAGCAGCAACATCAATATCAGGTGGGTACTTCTAGGTGAACAAATGGTGCGTTCTTAGAGGATCCTGCAAACCAACTGGTTTATACTGATCAAATTGGAATACTCACCTTACCTTACTATTACTATTCTATTTTTTGAACTTTAATAGCAGATATATAAACAGCAATGTTCTTATTCAGTTAAAACTAAATCTATACCTTACAATGACGTGTCCCTGATTCTAGGTATCTTCAAGAGTTCACTGCCTTAGGAACTGCAGGTGGAATGTACCACTTCCGGGATCAAATAAGAGCTGGAAATCCACGTGCCTTCTTTGTTCTCAACGGAGACGTCTGCGCTGATTTTCCATTGCAGGAACTATGCGAGTTCCATGAGAAGCGTCCATCGAGTGCTCTCGTGACCATCATGTCCACGGAGGCAACGCGCCAGCAATCGCTGCATTATGGATGTCTGGTTTTTGATAGGAGTAGCGGAGCTGTCTCCCATTATGTGGAAAAACCAAGCTCCTATGTGTCCACTTTCATCAACTGCGGAGTGTATGTCTGCTCTATGGATATATTCACTGTATTGGCTCAGATTTTCCACTCAAGGGGCCAGGAATACGGCTGCCAGGGATTCTGCAATGGAAACGGAAATGGAAATGGAAGAGAGCAAGGCCATATCAAATGGGAGCAGGAAGTGCTCACTCCGCTAGCTGGAACTGATAAGCTCTTCGCCATGCCGGTGCCTAATTGGTGGTCCCAGTTGAAGACAGCCGGATCGGCCATCTACGCCAACCGTCACTACTTGGGCCTGTATAAGAAAACGCATCCGGAGAGATTGGCCAATGTGGGAACCAAACGTGGAGAAGGAGACGGCAGCTTGATATGCACAGTTTTCCCCGATGTCTATGTGCATCCCAGTGCCACTGTTCATCACAGCGCAGTGGTGGGTATAGAAACCAAGGAATCTCTTTTCAAACTGTGTAAATAAACGTATTTCTTAGCTTGGACCCAATGTGGCTATAGGACCTGGAGTGACAATTGGCCCAGGTGTCCGCATTCGTGAATCGATTGTTTTAGAGCAGGCACAAATCCTAGACCACACGCTTGTCCTTCATTCGATTGTGGGCAGGGGTTCCACCATCGGAGCTTGGGCACGCGTCGAGGGCACACCCAGTGATCCGGATCCTAACAAGCCTTTTGCTAAAATGGAAAACCCACCGCTTTTCAACAACGAAGGAAAGTTAAATCCTTCGATTACCATATTGGGTAAGAATCCTTGGTAGAATCATTGGGCCTCTTTTTCTAAATAAATCTTAATTTTTTCAGGCTGTTTCGTGCAGGTGCCCGCCGAGAAGATCCTACTGAACAGCATTGTACTGCCGCACAAGGAGCTTAGTCGCAGCTTTAAGAACGAGATCATCTTGTGATGATGATTACTAAATATTTTCGGTCTTTATCCTTATCAGTAGCCATTTTATATATTTGTATTGTGCAATATTCCAAAAATCTATCTATTAAATGTGCCCTTACTCTTGCATTATTTCGATTTTTGGTTTGGTTGCGGAGTTTTAAGGTTAAATAATAATAATATAATAATTTTAAATTATATTTTTTATTTTATAATTTTAAATGTATAATTCTTGAAAACTTAACAAATATAGTTTTTAAATATTTTCAAAACAAATAAACAAAAAATTAAACCCTTTTTTCGGAGAAACCTTTGCATACTTTCTAGCATCGTTTTGTATTTATAATATTATATTATTAATACTCTTTAATGATGTTTTTGAATTTAACGGTATCAAAATTAGAAAATATCCAGTATTCCGCTAACAAATAATTTAATAATTTAAATATATATATTTTTAACCTTTTTTATATTATGTGGTAATTGAAAAGAGCTGCACTTCTAAATCAAAGGAGTTAACATACCGATAACGATATTTTATTGTCTTACGTGACACGCTATGCACAGGTAAGCAACCTACGCATACCGACACCTGCGCTCTCTCTTTTCTCTCTCTCTCTCGTTGGTTTTGACCAAAACGCGTTTACGTTGCTCGACTGTCAGCCAGTTAGTCTTCGTCGCCTGTTGCTTTTGCTCTGTCTATCTCGCTAGCTCAACAAAAAACAGTGATATTAACTTCTAAATATAATCTCAACTAACTTATAGTTAATAGCTGTCAATGATGCTTCTGGCCAAAAGGAAATGTAAACAGGTAAGCAGACTATTCTACGTAGGCAGTCACTATTCTCCGTTGGTAATTGAGCAAGCGAAGAAGAGGAAGACTATGAAACAGAAGAAGAAGAGCTGGGCAAACAGTGTACAGGTGTAAGTGTGTGTGCAAGGGTGAGAGTGTTGGTGAAGCAGCGCAGGTAACTTCCAAGTGTGAGAGAGGGAGATAGAGAGCGCGGGTCATGCTCATTGAGCGTATCTGTCTTGCGCAGCGTGGGAAACTAACAGAGAGGGAGAGATCAGCTTAACGGATTAGCTCTCATTTATAAGTCAAGCTTTAACGGTGGAGTATGTATTACTCTCTCTATGACTCTTTCCATTGCGTTGCCAACTACTGCGATAGCCTATTGGCAAACACATACACCTGGGTATGTTGTTGTTTTTATTAGTATGTGCGTGCTGGAATCTTGTTTGGCCTCTCTCGCTCTCCCTCTCTTTTGGTAAGCACAGCTCACTCACCTCATTTTACCTTCGTGGTTACCTGCGTTTCGTTGCGGCGATCAGTTGTTTTTTCAACTTGAAACCAAGCGGATGCGCGACGGTCGTTAATAAAAAAGTTAACAAAAAAGATCCGACTCACAAACACACATATAGAAACGCTCGCACGCATACTCACACCAAATAAAAACTAGAAAAAAGACAACAAGACAAAGTGGTAGAAGCAACAGGTCAAGAAGAAGAATAAGACTTGTTTGCTGGCTTTATATTAAAATAGTTAACTATTTAAGAGGCCAAAAAATAAAATTAAAACGTAAAGGCGTTGTATTAACTGTCACTTATGTATGTACAGGCATTCAATGCTTGAGTGTGTGCGAGAGAAAAGAAAGTGCAATAAAAACCAAAAATTGTGAAAAGCCAACAAGTGCAGTGTATACAACGTGTTGAACGGATAAAAACCTAAAACAAGAAAACAGTAAAAACAGTTAAGTTACCGCGCAGCAAAAGAGAAATAGAAAAAGAGAGTAAGAAGGCGAAGAAGCAGTGGAAGAGGAGTAAGTGGAAGCTGTAGATATCATTTACCAACAACCTGTCGCATCTCACCAAAGATCAAAAGCAAGAAAGAGAGGGGGCGAGATCAAGAGCGCCAGCGAAAAAGAGGTAGAATATCCGATTGAGAAGCAGTTGTTGTTGCTGTAAGTCAAAAAATCTATTAAATATACTGAAATGAATGAACAAAATCAACAAAAACAACAAAGAAACAACAGTAAGACGATGCTTCAAACAAAGTGAAAACAAATTTACAGTTACCTGCGACCAAAACGAAGATGCAGAGAGAAAGAGAACGCAACTTGTTTATGATACACTTCATTGAAAAAGATGGACTTCGTTTTAAAGGAAACTTAAGTTAAATCAATTTCAAAATATATTCTTGTTTAAAGACATTTTATTAAAACTTGCATATTAAGAGCCTGTTCTTTCAAACAGTTGTTAATAACAATAACAATGTTGTGTTGTTTTTTAGTAGTACATTTTTCCATGATAAGATATTGATTAAAATTGAAACTCATGCTGCTTAGGGAAAATTATTGTTTACTAATTCAATTTTAAAAACAAAGTAGGATAGGGCATTAAAATTTCGCCTTGTGCTGAGACTTTTTCATCTGCAGAATCACAGCAACAATATAAGAGTTGCACTTGTTGCTTGCGTGAGATCCAGTTAAAAGGGGGAAAGAGATAAAAGTCCAGATAGAGCGAGTCTAAAATATTTTCCTTCTTCTCTGCGTTTTTGTTGTTGTTGTTTGAATAACTTTGGCAATTGGCATTTCTCGCTAGCAATTTTGCGCAATCATAAGTTTCCTGTTGCTCCAACAACAACAACAGCTAACGGCACACGCCAGCAGCAACATCAATAATAAAACTGTATTTGCAAGCGGGGAACAATGTATAAAACAAAAACCGTAAAAAATAAACTTGCGCAATTCATAATTTAATAAGCAAGCCCGAAAAAAGAAATACTGAAAAAACAAACAACCAACAAGTAAAATCTGCTCACTTTCTGGTTTACCAATCAGCAGGTAGCAATTCATTAATTGCAATAGTTGTTGGTCCGTTGTCGAGGAATTAGCTCGGTTTTTATTGCACTCCTGCTGCGCCTGTCACTAATTCGTATTTAATCACAATTTAATTGTATTGTCTTTCAAAAAGTGTGGAACAATCAGAGATTGATCTTTGTTAACAGTTAACTTCTACAAACGCCAGACTACCAGGTTTATCTCTTTAAATAATGATTTTTCTATCTTATCATCATTATAGCACCAAGATTATAAACAATTTTCCTTTAAGAATAAGAAAACCCGATTTTGAAGACATTAGAAAACTGTTAACTAATTTCGTATGAAACAAAAATATTTTGTATTTATCATAAAATACACAGGTCATAATATCAACTAAAGATTTTTAATAAAGTCCATTATGATTTTCCCTATGGAATAACACAATTTAAACCCTTAAAAAGGATAAGTATAAGTATGTTATATTTATTATTACCCCATCTAATGAAAGTTCAAGTTATTTAAGTTTCACTGTAGTTTGATCTGCAGTTAGAGTCTACGTTTCGGGTTTCATAATTTTAATGACGACCCCAGCGCTTTCCCATTGTCTTTTTGGTCATTCTTTATTGTACTTAATTGGACTCCGACTTGCGTACCGTTATTCATTAATGAAGAGAGTACCTTTTCCAACGAAAGGGAAAACTTATCAATGCGTGTCTGCTGCCCTTTTCGTATAATAGTATCTCTCTATCGTTTCCATTGCAATCAATTAAAAGCACATAAACCAACTCATAAGCCCATAACTTATGATATGCAACTCTCGAGAGGTTGAGGTAAATCAACAGGTTTTAATAGTCTGGAATGGCTTAAAGTCTCGGAACAGGAAATAGGGCACTTTAGGGCCTCTAGTTTATATATTGCAACAGTGAACTTACCGCTTTACGGTTTAACTAACCCCAGAGGTCAAAGAAAAGTGTCAAGATTAAGAAACTTACGAACCCGTTTTGGTTTTTTATTTTATAAACTCAGAGGTAGTTATTCTTTTTTGGGGAGTAAGAAATCGTGGGAACCTGTATTGATGATGATTTCCTGCTAACGGAATAAAGAGTTACAACCAAAGGGCAGTGCAAGATGCAAAAAAAACGTTAAACGTTAAAAACCCGTAAAAGGCAAACGTCATAAATTGCACAAGACCCGAGATTATAACCACAATCGCTCATTACCACACGGTCGCTCTTCGAGATGATAAATCCCCTCCAGCACTACGAGTTCCAAGTCAAGTGTGGACTATAAAAGCAGAGCGTTATGCTACAGTCCAACTTCCATAAGTTCAACATTCAAAATCAAAATTCTTTAAGTGGAAATGAATGGAAAATTTCTCTTCTTATCGTGTTGTTGGAACTTGGAACTTTGAACTTCTCGAAGTTTTAATTTAAATTTATAGATGTTATCATATAATGAGTTAACGTTCTTTGGAGGGATCACCTTTAAGTTTAAAGCTTTGAACTACACGAAAAACGAATTATGATTTATTGATGGTACAACTTAACATGTCTAACACTTGTCAAAAACTTTAAGTATAATAATTGACATATGTGAAAGATTAGAGTTCGAGGTTGGACTGTATAATCCAGCTTCCGTTCCGATCTGATCAGATCCGACAAGAGGAGCACTTAAAGTGGCACAATTACGAAAGTCTGGCCTTTTTGCACGTATGCATTATTTTAAATTTTAATTACAACAAAGAGCCATCATTTCGACTACAAAGAGCGAGTTGCGCCTGCGCGCCCGATTAACCCATAAGCGCCATTTTTTTTTGTTGAACTCTGAGGGTCTTGTGTTTTCATTAAGAGTAAAACTTTTCACATTAAAAATGCTCATAAAATTGCACTGTAATTTTTTTGTTTCGTCTCTGGTCTCCGGTCTCCGTTCGCCTTTTCGTTTGTTGGGGCGAAATTAAATTTCAAATCGCCAGCCAGGGGTTAATACTTTAATTTCAATTTGACCCCCTTGACGTCAGCGGTGTTAGAAGCTCCATTCCGAGCCAATTACAAATGCAGCTGAAAAGCGGCAACGCGACAGGAAAACTGACAACGTCACATGGGTTAAGTGACGGACGGACGATGGATTGCATATGCAAAATGTCGCCGCTGTGTCAAGCGTTTTGCCAAGTTTCGAGCGAATCACCGGACTTTGGCTTTCTTTTCGAAGTTTTTTTGTCATTTTGTTTTAGTGCAAGCTTACAGTACTATATATACTATATAGTAAATATATATCTTTATAGTGGTTTCGCTATTGGCAAACTTTGACTCTGCCACAAACCGATTCGCTTTGTTTGACATTTCTTGAACGCACTCGTAATTAGTGCTTACTTAATATGCAGCCCAAAGTCCAAGTGTGCAGTTTTCCAGTATCGATTGTATAATCACTAATTCACCCTATCCCTCTCCCCCTTCTTTTTTTTTTTACAGGCACAACCGCTGGCGGTGCAGCCCTGAGATGCAGATCAACCAAAGCTAGTCTGGTATGTGGCTTCAGTTCAAGGAGCAGAATCACTAGCAATAACATTAATTAAGGGATCCAAAGGATCCAATATCTTCAACACGATCATCACAGACGAAGAGATTGACAACAAAATGCAGGTACCCGAACACGTTGTTTCACTGTACATCGCCACCTGTGGCCAAAATGGACCCGGTCTGGGATCGGACGAGAAGGAGATCATTCTGCTGGTCTTTGTTCTCTTGGAGGCCACCACTGGACAGGTGAGTTAAGCTAATCAAATTGATTTTATGTTTATGAAAGGGATAGAATTAGAGTTAGGATTAGCTTATATATATTATATTTTTGAGGTCTAAACTATCTTTTTAACTTGACATGAGAAAGTGGGAATCTCAGCTAGCGCCGCCCACTGACCACCATTTTGTTGGATTGCTCGGCTCTCATCTACTCTTTAATTAATGAATGCTGGGCGATAACAGACCCCTCGAACACACACACTGAGAAACGAGCGCTGCACTTTCAACTGTGTGGAATGGCGATCGTTTATTATGTTACAGCTCTCGATTTTGATTCGCCAAAAAAGAGAGAGCTTTAATAGGGTAAACCATTTTGGAAATACTTGAAAATAATACCAAGATTACTCTTTTGATGATGATCGGTTAAAAATAATATAAACAATAATATTTTTAGATCTCCATGGCTATGAAAGGGCTGCGATAGCAATTTAACCTTTCAAAAATTCACTTATTTCATAGTAATAAAGAAAATTTGCGCTGACCAAAGGGCTCTCAAAGGGAAATGCTTGAAAATATCAGCGATTACGTTGCACTAGACTGCAATCACTTCCAGATGTAAAACTAATTACTGAGTCTAACTCTTACCAGCATATATTTACAAAGTGCGAGAAAGGAATTTTGAGATTAACACTCTCGAACCCTGTCATTTCGGTAGACTTTTCCAAGCTCCACGTGTCGTTCTCCATTTAGAAGTGACTACTTATGTTGTTTTTTCGGGGAGATCCCTACTAAGTAAAGGATTGAGTTGCACATTGTATTTGGCTATTTGCATATTTTGAGTTTGCCAAGCGATTGACACTAATTGTTTGGAAAAAATCTTTAAACATCCGAGGTGGCTAAGGGCAGGCCAACAACCGAGACTTGCAGTCTCGTCGAAAGCCCTCATCTTAGACCGCCCCACAGCATTACGAAATCCAAGCGACAAACTATCGCCGGCCATTAAAATTTATTTGTCAAACGGCAAAAACTAATTTTCCAAGAAAGCAAAGAGAAGATTTTTTCAAATTGCTAATGATGTAATGATGTGGGCTGGCCATCCTTTTGGAAAATGTTTTACCATAAAAAGATTTAGCAATGTTTTTCAGACCATACTTTGTATTTTTCTAAGATTTTATGGAGAGGTTTGAGTTCTTCCAAAAAGATTAAGTCTATCTGTTTCGCCCTTAATAGAGTTTTTTGGTTTTTTTTTAAACGATTTGTTTTTGATTTTCAAAACTTGGAATAATTTATTCTCCTCATTATCGGTTGCATTGACTTGGCATTCGATTTTCCCCATTTCGATGCAGTTCGTGGGGCTAAGTTATGTCGCTTTCAGTACGCAATTTTATTTGCCTACAGCTTGACAATCTCGAGAGCATACAAAAAACCCGTATCGTATTGGGGGATTACGTGGGCGCTTCGATTCCGGCGGAGGCTGCGTGTTCAGAGGCATCGACTTGGGAGATATTACTTATATATAAATATATATATATAGTGGAGGTTGTTTTCGCACCGACTAGAACTGATGAAGGAAATTGCCGGCCATTAGATAGGTCTGTGTGTACCTTCGGGTCGGGGCTCTTGAGGTTATTTGCTGGCATTAGCCGGGGGTATCGGAGATGTTTGCCTGACATTGTCGCGATTTTATGACGAGCACGCAACATTTTAGTAAGTGCAGCTAGCTCCCTGCCCGTCCTGCCTGCCAGCCTCGTGAGCCCTCCTCCTGGTTGATCTTAAGTGGTATTTAATGGCGACATTGGGGCTCAGCAATTACGAATGCTTCTATTTAGAGTTTGAGTGAGATTTTTTTGCAAATTCAATACATTGGAAGGCCCTGACCCGCTGTCAGAGCAGTCAGCTTCAGTCTTTGTTGGCTGCCAAAAAAAACAAAAAAAATAATATTATGTGAATTAATTAGCTGAACTTAAACTCTGGCTTCCAGCTAAGTGGCTATATGTTGGCTTTCGCAAAACGTTTCCAGCTCTGGGGTTAATTTTTATGTTAATCTTTGCGGTGAGTCCCCGCAGACGCAGATTATTAGTATTATTATATCGCTTTCCTCTTGCTATTTTTGGCCTTGGGGTCATGGGGTCAGCGGCAGACGAACGAATTTCTCCAAAATCCTTACCTTTCTCTGCACCCTCTCGATCATTTGTTTTCGGTTCCTAATGAACTTAACAACTAGCATAGACCAGACTTTTGCGGAATATCTATATAGATATATGGATATATAATTCAGATGTCTGGGCATATCTGAATAACAAATTCAGTCTGCGAAATATATGCTAATATCGGATACACATTATGATTAAACTTCGCAAACCAGTTGAAAGTGGCTCTATAACTTAAAGATAGTGTCACTATTTCTATGACTTGACCGAATTTTCAAAATAGTTTTAAGTTACCTTAAACTTGCTGAATATATTTAACAATGAGCAGCAGACAAAAGCGTGATTGTTAATAACTATAAATAAAATGTATAACGTAAAGTAAGATTTAAATAAAATAAGAGAAAGTAGTAAAGACGTCATGCAAAGTGTATATTTTATTAAACAAATATAGATCTTAAAGCGTAACTATTAAGATTGTTATAGGAATTAAAAACTAATATCAATATTGGTCTAAAGTGTCACAGTGAATCCTCATTTAGTAGCCTCGCATCATCGTGATCGTAATATTCCATTGACAGCAATTGGTTTTGAAGGCCCGCCTGCCATAGAAGTCGACAGGGAATTATAATAATAATGGCCAATATGCTGACCGATTCTGACTGTCATTTGGCTGCCTAATGGAGCGACTGAGGGTCTTTTTTTTTTGGACAGCTGACGGGGGGAGTGCGACCAAACTGTCAAATCGGATCGTATTGATTATGGCATTTGTTTGGCCAGCGTGATAAGAGTATATATATAAATGGACAGTAGACTTTCCACAACGGAAATATCATTTTCCGTCTCAGGTTATCCATTTTCATGTCAACCTGATCTGATCTCAAATTGAAATTTCTCTGTTATAGATTTCTTGCTGGAGTGCAATTTTCTTAATTCGATATAGCCATACACTCACTAGCACACTCGCTGACTTACATATACCGGTGCAGTAATTGGCATGTTAATTACAGGCTAGTTATGACTCGTATGGCAACAATTAAAGTTAATTAACATTCGAAAACGAACTGCAAAAAAAAGCCGTCTAAATAGAGTGGCCGAGAGGCAAGACGGGGCATGGGGGCCTACAGTTTGAGCCTGTTCTTAATCTCTTGAACCAATTAGAACTCTTGGCTGAACTTTTAATTAACCTATCGGTGTTTATATTGAGTTCTATTGAGAAATCAGTGGGTTAATGTAAACTCTGGGGTATATACCCTTTCCTAAAATATTAAGATCCCTCAATGCTGGCATAATTAGGGGAAGCTCTTCTTAACCCCCGAGTGAAGCCCACATTCGTGTCCGTTGAATTTAACATGACCGCAGCTCATGCATTTTTCATTTCCTTCGGAACCGTACTTTTATATACCACGTTTCCCATTTTTTTTTCCACCTCCAGCAGTTTTAGTATTGTTCTGACATTCAAAGCCTATGTAAATTCGATTTTGAACGCCGGCAGAAGTTGGAAAACAAAGAAAAGCACCATTTTTAGTTTTCTTCCTAAGGCCTACGCCTTGTGATTTGCATAGCGCCCAACTACCTGCAGGGAGAGAGCCTCGATTTCGATTCGGATCGAGACCATCTTTGCATATCCGCTGACGCAAGACCTAGTCTTTGTTCCCTTGGGATTCGGAATTGTGGTTTCCAGTTGGCACTAAACATGAGGTTTGTAGGAAGAAAACTCGGTTAAAACTCTCCCAGAAAGCACCAGAAACATAACATTACGTGCTGGGTTTCAGGTGTACTTGACTATCGGATGTTGGTGATAGGAAAAATTGACTCGGTCAAGAGCGGTTTCTGTTCCAAATGATAAGACTGGGAACAGTCATGCTTACTGTGTTTTTGATTTGGGCAAGGGTGTGGGTACAGGTACACCCAAGTTTTCTTAAATTTTATAAAATATTTTCCTACTTAAGACTTAAGACCATCACTAGAACTTTGTATATTAAGCAACGCCTAAAATTACCAAGTTATTATAAAATAATAGTACCTTTTGATAGAGTACCTATATTACATATCTAAAACTAAGGTTTATATCACCCCTATCATTATGACAGACACTTATCATTGTCAAGGTAAGCTAATGAATATTTCTCCTCTATTTTCATTCCAGATTGTGGGCACTAAACAAATACTCGTGCGGCCGGATGGCTACTTCATCAAAGATCGCACCATCTCTGGCTCCTCAGACAATTCGAGTGTGGCCAATAATACGGCCAGTTCACCGCCCCTGGCTATTGGAGATACCAATAATGGCGGTGGAACTGGAAGTGGCAATGGAAATAGTTCGGAAAATGGATCTGAAATGATCCTACCCATTGCAGAGGCCCAGGCGACGGGCAAACCTTTAAGCGAGGCCATCGAAGAGGTGAGTCTAATCCAATCTGATCCATGCGGTAATCAGAGCACGTTGTTCGGGTTGTTTTGGATTGTTTGGATTTGAGTCGGTTATCAGCTGATTGTGATAAGATTACGCTTGCACTATGCCACCACGAAATGCACATGTTTTTTCGGGGGGAAAATCTGTTGGGTCTATTTTTGGAATGCACCCTCTAAAATAGAGAGTGAGTCGTTGTTGGTCCTTGCCCCGAGTTTTATGTGGCACGCTGTATCGGTACTTATCAATGGGCATCGAGTTACTGGAGTGGTGGAACTACACAGAGGAAAATGTAATATAAATGGTAGACCTATTAGGTAGATATTTTGGTATTATAACAAATGTTATATCGTGAGTTAAGATCTAATATTAGCTACTATTTACATAGGAAGTATAAATTACCCTAGTCCAGCTGTTGTTATGTATAGTTTTTAGATAAAACCTTAACTATTTTTAGAACAACATTAAGCTCAGTAGACTTATCAAACATTAAAATAAAAAATCATTCTAAAAAAGAGAAGATGAATGATATTAGCCATATCAAAAGTTCTCTGATAAGCTCGTATGCCAGATCTAATTTTGATTTTTGGTAGTAACGATGACTAAACTAGTTTCTTGCGCAGTCATGTCGGGTTGCATTATCCTCTATGTAAAGACCTTTGCCACACCGAACAGATTCCACAACCATTCAGAATGCGAGCAGTATAACCCCTTGAGCCCTTATCTGACCCACTAATAAGACACACACTCCAGGCAAGCCCCCGATTACATATTTAGCTGCATTCTGACAGAGGAACTGAAAAGCAACGACATATATTATGACCAGCTGATTGAGATAAAATATCTCGATATGAATGTAGTGTTTTGAAATGTTTGAAGAGTGGAATCATCATCTTTGAAAGGCAACTTCAAACATTCGATGCCCTCTCAGCCTTGACTAATAATTCTTAATAGTTTATTTAACGAATTTCTGTTTTAATGATGGCTATAAACTTGAGTGGGCAAACTTTTTATTATTTATGGTTTACGAGTTGAAAAAAGTTGAAAAAGAATTGGCTAGCATAAAGTTATAACCCAAATCTGAATCTGAATGTTTCTGTAAAAAAAATCTATAAATAATTCCAATTAATGACTGAACTTTAACATACGATTTAATCGTTCTAAAGTTAATGAATTTATCTAATCTTCTTTGTATGATAGCCCATTGGTCAAGGCAATTACTTAGCACGATTTAAAACTGCATCTGGAGAACCTTTGTTCCCTGTCCAGAGAGAGTGTGAGATTGAGAGAGATCAGCGCGTGACGCATTGGGAATCCGGCACAAGTCTGGCATACTAATTGGCCAAGTCAATAGGGCCAATAAAGCCATTGGCCGGGGAGATAAAGATGCATTCGAATGGGGTGGGAAGGTGGCTTGAGTTTAGTGATGTCATCTGGATTATACTCCTTGCTGTGCCACGATTTCGAGCTAGTAATGCGACATTAAGCCGCGTGTTATATTTACTCACCATGACACGGCTGAAAACTGTTCACTTAATTGGCAATAATTGCCGGCCAACAAACGGGTTTAAGCCAATGTCATTTGGGGCGATTGTGGGGAATGTGGCACTATCAGTGACCCAAAGTAACTACTTTTCCTCAACGAGCCAGTGGAATGTTTGGGGTATTTTTTCCTATCTATACTAGACTTAACCTTTAACCCTCTCCATCTCTCTCTCTCTTAACGACAAGTGCTAATTGCTATTGGTTACTAATTACTCTGCTATCTCTGATATTTAGTTTGATGCCTATCTACGATCTCTGTCGCTCCACGATACGGAGATCAAACTGGTGACTGACGGCCAGTTGCCCCTGAGGCAGTGCCTCCATCGGGAGGCCAGTGCCAAGGACGTGGAGCTACCGACGTACTATAATCGTTTTAGCGATCTCCGCAAGGAGTTCTTGCGCTACAAGTCCGGCGACCTTGCCCGCGCCCTCGTTCCTGTTAAGGATGTCAAGAAGATGCTGCAGGCACCAACGCAGCCCATGCCCCAATCCATTGCTGAAATGCTTGGAGGTAAGTTTCAAGATTGATTGCGAACATATCAGCTGGCTTTGATGCAAAAACGTTTATTTATATGCAAATATCTTTGCTTTGAGCTTTGTGTTGGTATTTAAATAATCTTCGATTAAGTTAACTAAGTGCAGATTTCGCTAATGGGTTATTTTAATTGAACTGGTTTATGGCTTCATCTTGAAAAGCTTTTTGTCCTTCAAGCTTTAAGCAGAAACTATTGCTTGTAAGGGATGATGAAGTCTGCTATTTTATCCCTTTCTATTTTTATATAAAAAGTGGGTTCCATAAAACAATGGTTTAATTAAGAGTACATCTGTTTTAATTAGTTTTTGTTTACTTTTATCCCAACAGAGCTCAACACCTCATCGGTGGAGGACAATGACTTTTACATTCGCGAATCTCGCGACATGGTCACTGTGATCCAGACCCTGCTGCAGGCAGGTAAGTCTATATTAAGCCCACATCTTTTCTTCGAATTCTCTGTGTACTACCTGAAGTTATTTTCTTGTACAGGTCACAAATTTGCTGCTAACGAAGTGGTCAACCTGGTACTGGAACCTGGAATTTGGTAAGTGTTTCAAAGCCCATCTGAACTAGTTCGCCGGTGGAAACCCAACTCGACCGAAGCCCCTCTCAGCTGATCCAAGCACTATTTCGAGTGGAAATCATTCACTCAAAAACTCAAAACGATCGAATTCCGAGACACACAGAGACCGAGCCCACAAAGAAAACCACTCAAGAAGGCCCCAACAAATCTGAGCTGGGAGCGTCGCTCGCGTCAGTCTTCGCATGGATTGGGAGGCGATAAGAGCTAAGTCGTAGAGTCGCGTATAATATTTTCCAACTGGGAATCGGGATCAAGATCCAATGGTATTGGATGGCATCGTAACACGGATCAGAGGCAACGTGAACGCTCGGTTCTTGTTATCGCGAGATCGCCTAGGAAAATTTAATTTTACCTACCTAGCTCGAGGTCTGTTTTTTCTTTCGGTCCAATCATTATAAAATATTCAATTAGCGCAGCTAACAGAGGTAATCTAAGTACCTTGCCACTCGCCGAATGGCAATTTTCTAGAACTCCTTGTTGCCCCCGCCGTCTGCCAACTTTGAGATTATTCATGTTTTTATTTGTTCGCGCTGCTCGTTTGGTTTATTTTAATTTTTTATTTTTTTTTTTGCTGGCCCATTTATGCATGACATTCGGTTATATTTGTGCGATTGTGTGTGTGTGTGTGTGTGTTTGCGGGAGAGTCAGCAAAAATGTTTATGCGACTTCAGTAATCGTCAAGAACTTTGGCTGCACATCGGAACGTGACTGCGACGCCTTTTTCTCCTACTTCTCCTACTTACCCCAAGAAAAGAGGTCCCCACCACATGTTGCATAACCTGCTTTTTGGATATGGGTTTTCCAATAGCTCAAAACTAATGGATTTTCTTGATTATTTCTCCACAGCTCCATAGACGACGAAATCGACGGTAATTGTATAGTAAGGGCCAGAGGATTACCCTGGCAGAGCAGTGACCAGGACATAGCCAAGTTCTTCCGAGGCCTCAACGTAGCCAAGTAAGTTATGTGGAATGAGAGAGGGGGGCTGGCTTACCCAAGCCCACGCCAACCCATTGATAAGATAGTTCACGGGGTCGGCCGTATCGAGATTACGAGCGACCCACTTTATGGTCTCCCCACCCGCTAACCGCTCCTCTTCTTCGAATTCTTCTAGGGGTGGCGTAGCCCTCTGTCTGTCTCCGCTGGGACGTCGTAACGGCGAGGCTTTGATCCGCTTCGTGAGCCAGGAGCATCGTGATATGGCGCTCAAGCGGCACAAGAATCACATGACCACCCGTTACATCGAGGTTTATCGGGCATCGGGTGAGGATTTCCTGGCCATAGCCGGCGGAGCCTCCACTGAAGCCCAGGCATTCCTGTCGAAGGGCGGTAAAGTGATCATTCGGATGCGAGGATTGCCCTATGATGCCACCGCCAAGCAAGTGGTAAGTACTGGGAGTAAACCAGCTAATAATCTAAATAACTAACTTCATAAATTCCCCATCCCTAGCTGGACTTTTTCACCACAGGCGACAATGCGCCCTGCCACGTTCTAGACGGAACCGAAGGTGTGTTATTTGTTAAGAAGCCGGATGGAAGGGCCACTGGAGATGCCTTCGTACTTTTTGCCCACGAGACGGATGCGCCCAAAGCGCTGGGACGGCACCGTGAATCCATCGGACAGCGGTACATAGAGCTATTCCGTTCGACGACCGCCGAAGTTCAGCAGGTGCTCAACCGGTCGATGGACCCCAAGAACTACGAGTCGGGCAGCGGGCACAGCCAGCCGCCGTTAATCGCCCAACTGCCATCGATGCAGCTGCCGCTGCTGCCGCAGGTGGGTGCCCACAGCCTCACCCACAGCCTCGGAGCCAGCCCCGCTAACCTGTGCCCCCCCGTGCCACCTCCCGCTCTCCCTCTCCCCACACAGCACCTCATCACATCGGGTACCACCAAGAACTGCATCCGGCTGCGCGGACTGCCCTACGAGGCGATGGTCGAGCATATCCTGCACTTCCTCGATGACTTTGCCAAGCACATCATATACCAGGGCGTTCATATGGTTATCAATGCGCAGGTGAGTTTTCATATTGATTGCTCCATTTGGTCAACTTTCTAATATTATTTGCTTGATCTCTTTTAGGGCCAGCCAAGCGGAGAGGCCTTCATCCAGATGGACCAGGAGGAATCGGCTCGTCTGTGTGCCCAGCGCAGGCACAATCATTACATGATGTTCGGCAAGAAATATCGTTACATCGAAGTGTTCCAGTGTTCCGGCGACGATATGAATATGGTCCTCAACGGTGGCATCGCATCGCCGGTGGCCCAGCCGCCGCCACCACATCTTGGCCACGCTCACAAGCAGCAATCGTTGCTGGCCGCCACCACGGGTATGTTTAGTTCGGCGGGTCAGTCGCCGACGACCGTAGCCGCCGGTACAGCTCAGTCGCCGCTAGGCGGCACCCATTCACATACTCACCCGCACTCACATGCGCATGCGCACGCCCCGGGCCACGCCCATGCAGCAGTCGCTGCCGCTGCTGCGGCCCATCACGGATTGTCCGCCTCGTCGGCCATTTTGCCAGGCCTCTCGGCTGCCGCTTCTGCATCCGGATTAGCTTCTTTCATGACCGCCGGTCAGACGACGGCAGCCGCAGCTGCTCATTCCGCTGCCTCGTTACAAAATGCCGCGGTGGCTTTGACCCCGCAGGGCTATGCCCTTAATCCTTTCTCGCTGCCGCCGCCAGGATCTTCGGCTGCTGCAGCAGCAGCCTCAACACCCGCCCTGCTGGCCCAACAGCAGGCTCAGTTTATAGCCCAACAGAGTTTGCTGGTGCGACAGCAGGCTGCTGCCTTAGCCGCTGAACAACAGCAGCAACAGCAACAGCAGCAGCAGCAACTCTATGCCAGTGCAATGTTGCAACAGCACCCGCTGTACTTGCAACAGCAACAGCAGCAACAGCAACTGTACGCCAGTGCCATGTTGCAACAGGGTCAGCCACAGTTTGTGCTTATGCAGAGGCCCTCGTCCGCCTATTTGCCGCCCTTTCCGCTCGGCTATATGTCCGCTGCGGGGGCGGCATCAGGAGTGGGCGTGGCGCCAGGAGCAGCAGTTGCTGGGGCAGCGACGTCAGCAACATCGGCCACCGCCAGCAACGCTTCGCTGAGTCAGTCGATGAAGCGGTCTTATGAGAACGCCTTCCAGCAAGAGGCAGCGGCAGCGACGGCCAGCGCGGCCAAAAGAGCCTTAACCCGTCAAAACGGCTATTACAATTCTTACTACAATTCGGGATTGTAGATCCCAAAAAATAAATTAAACAAAAAGAAAGAAAGCTAACCTGAAATAAGAGCTCCAACTCCAGCACTTCGGGCACATTCCGCGAGTGGGTGGGGTGTTCATATAATACCTACCTTAAGGCGCACACCAATAACCATATCATATGTACCATCATGGCCACACTCACACTCTCACTCACACACATACACATAGCGCATACCAGACATTCTCTAGAGCTTAATTATTACCAATTCGGAATGTAGACTTAAGTACTTTTCTTGTATGGAGTACTCGTAGTAGCCTAAGCATACTTGTCTATGGTCTAAGCGAATAATACTTACTATATATATATATTTAATATAAACCAACATACACACACGCGGGCAAACACACACATATACACCCACAAGCACTGCTCACCCATACACGCATAAGTACACCAGCTAACAGAGGGAATTTATAAAAAGGATCAAAGATCAATGATCCTGATCACTTGTGTTCTACTAAGCGACATTCCACACTTATGGATATTGTTTTGATTTTAATTTTGATCTACGCTTGGTGTGAGTGTGTGTGTGTGTATGCACGCGTGTGCGTAAAGAGGGGCAGAACCTTGGCTGCCCTTCGATTCGAAGGCAATCAACAGAGGCTAACGTGGCTCATGGAGGGAGCTAGATGCTGTGGACGCGTTTCTGGTGGCCACCACCCACGCCCATTCAGTGCAATCTAATTTTAGTGTTAACCCTTTGGAACCCTCCTTAAAATATATATATATATATATATATATCGCCATGAGCTCTCTCCTCCCCCCATGAACCACGTCAGGTGTTGGCTCAAGCGCAAATTTAAACTGAATTCGAAACTGAAACCCTTAAAACGAAATCAAAAACCGAGAACTGTTTACGGGCTAACAACACGAGTTAAGCAAATATCACGAAACCCTGTTTTCTGTAAGGAAAAACGTTTTTCTTTTTCCATGGAATAACCGATCGATGGGTGGAGTTGTGTGCCTATCGACGACTTATATACCAACATTTTATACACGCTAGCTTTAAGATTGTGCGACTTGTAAAATGGTTTTGCATATATATCATATATATATATATTAATATATATATTAATTTAACCCGGCGATCTTTTCCCGTGTCTCTCCATGGCCGCTAACAATCAATTATTAATAATCTCATCTCGTCTGACTTGCAATATCCGTAAAACACACCCTATATAAATAGTGTCTAGATCTTATGGTGTAGCTATTAAGTGTGCGTAACTGGTGTTAGTCGCAAATGGGATAAAAATCTCTATACTCTACCTACCTATCACAACCCTCTATCTCTCGATATCACTGTTTGTGTGTGTGTTCTCTGTCATCACTAATTTAGTCGGGTTCAGATCTTGATCTAGTATAGTCTAAAGCTTGTTGTAAGTTTGGGCCGCTTTAGTGTCTATATCTATATACATAAATAGTGTGTCTAGTCTGCATAATCGGATGTTAACTGGTTACTGGTGACTTGGGATTACATCCCTGCAAAATGCTTATTAACTTTAAGACTGTCTTAGCTTTGAAGGAATTATGATTTTAAAGTGATATGATAATGAAAACTTTTAAAGTAACTTACTAAGCTAAGATTGGCCTTTAGTTAATAAGCGTTTTGCAAAATGTTTTTTACACACATGCGAGCTTTTGTCCGTGCCTTACAGAAAGAACATTCCTGACCTGTCCTATATCCCCCTAGCTTTACCTATATCCGTTCTCCTGCTGCGTCTAACACTGAGTTCCGCTCGGCTTTTTAAAGATCGAGTTTAGCGAGGGAAAGGCATGGGAAAGATAGTCAGCGCCTAGCCTAATCCTTAGCCTAATATAACCATTAGTTTTAGATGTAGTATGGCAATCGAGTGGCTTCAGAGCGGGTTCTACGGCCACTTTAAAGAAACTTAAAAAAAACAAAAACAAACACATACACACACACCCATAATCAATAATATTTACTTAACTAGTTTGTAGGCAAAGAAGTTTTTAATGTTTTTTGGAAACGATTTACGATTTTTGATATTCCATTCTTTTTTACCACTAGATGTTAGTGAACAATCTTTGATTAATTTTTTACATCAATAAAAATACGACATACCGCCTAAACTAAGCCCGCTCTCTCTCTCTCTATCTATCTATCTCTTTCTCACACTGCCACCATCCCTTTCGCTCTATTGTGTGTTGTTACCCGAAGAGTAGAGGATCGTACCCCAAAAAAAAAACCTACTAATAACCAACATCATATCATAATGGGTTTACTTCCTTACTAACACAGATGATCCCCTTATCGAGAAGATGAGAATAAGCCCTGCTCCCAAGATCCTTCTTCCTAGTCTTATCCCTTATCCTTGCAACACTATCCCCCATCATTGAAACACCTATATATGTACATGTAACTGGGGTATCGGGCTTGGGCTTAGCTTTACACTCGATCGCGTTTTCAGCGCCTCGTCCAAGGGCAAAAACAAAAAAAAAAAAGCTGGGAGTGGATATCCGGAATCGGCATTTGGAGTTTGTTTGGTTTACTGTTTCCGTCACTGTTCTAGCCACATAAATACTATCGTAACTCTAAGTGGAATGTCCATCATGATCGTACTAGTCATAGTCGCATCCTGTATGTAACTCGACGCAGTCTGTACCTTCGGGCGCATACTCTATAATCTCAATTATGGTTCCTCTCAGGGGCCTGGTGCTTGGATTAAACAAAAAAAGAAAAAACAATTAAACAAATATTGAAAAAAAAACTGAAAAACAAAATCAAAATTATCAATACAACAATCGGCAAAAACATGTTCAAAATTTGTACTCGTACTTGTGCGCAACTGTTTCATGGTCTCTGGGTGAGGTGGTAAGATACTCGTTCCAAAATACCAACTATATATGTCTCTCCTACCATTTGCAATGTCTAAACGGTGAGTGATTTGAATACAATTTTGCCCCTGCTAATCGACTACTAACTAAACTGGCCAATTAATTACGGAGATAAGATCACTACTAACTAACCTAGTAACAACTAAAATTATAGATTGAGCTACAAAACGATAACTGAGTGGCTTAATTACCACTATAAAGAAAGTATACTACTGAAACTAAGAAGATTGGTTGATGCATATCCTTAGACCCACGCATATATACCTGTATATCTTGTATATGTCTGCTGATCCCTCTTTCCTGCCCCCACCCCCTCTTCAACAAGCAAAAACATTACTCACAACACTGATTACCCCGATATTCCCCCCGATTCGAAACCCACCTCTTTATCGTTGAGGAACCCCTGGAGAGGATAAGATTGCAATGGAATAATACGTGTTCTTTGTTTTCATATAGGTGCCACTGTGCTAGGCGCTCACTTTGGCGGGCCCTTCCCGGCCTATGGTGCGGCACCGCCACCACCGCCGCCCCACACACCCTTGCTGGCCACGCCTCGATCGCACCACCATCCGCACCATCACCCGGCGTCTGCATTCTACCCACCGCCGCTCGTCTACTGGCCCTACCCGAGTCCGCCCGTCTCGCCAACCACCTACTACAGTCAGCCGGGAGCGCACTCCCCTTCACAGCCACTGGTGAGTGGAATTAGAGGAGTTTTCACACTCCATAAAACGTAACACTCCCCTGATAAGCTAGAAAATGTTTTCTTTAATGTTAAATAAACTTATAATTTGTTATCATAGCAAGGCTAAGCTTATAAAAAATTGGTAATAATTATTAACAACTTTATTTACATTCCAGTACCCCTTGGACTTCTTTCCACCATCGCCGCTTTCGCCGCCCAACGTGGCCATTCCGAACACAACTGCTGGTTTGATACTCACGCCCACCAAAACGGCGGTGTCCTTTGTGCCGCCCAAGCAATTCTCACCCACCACGACCGGAAGCGGAAGTGTCAACTCCAGTACCGTTAAGATACCTGTTCAGGTGGTACAAGCTAATCAGCCAGCGATCGCTTTGAATGGAAGGGTGGAGAATGCCACTCCTACAGGAGCAAATGCCACGCCCTCAACGCCTCAAGAGGCAAATGCATCACAAACGCTGTTAACCATAGACACCAACCATGCCACGCCCACAACAGCCGCTGCGCCACCGCTAAAGACAGGCAGTCAAGGGGTGTCGGGCCCAGCTGCCACGCCCATTGTGAGCAACTCCTGCGTGGAACTTTTCATCTCGTAGAGGTGCAAAACGGAAAAGCTGAGCTTTTTTTTTTCTTGCCAATCGAAGAAACCTATTCGTTAGTCTAGTTAAGAACCACAGGCCAAGCTAACTCCAGCCGAGTCGCAAACCTGCGTGGTGAGTTTTGAAACGGCGGCGAAACAAAACTCAAAGTTGGAAATTTAAAAACAAAAAAACAAAAAAAATTGGCACGAGCAAAAATCAAATGGAATCTCGCCGCCGCCCCTCATGAATTTCTGTAACAATTTAACCCCAGCTAATGTTAAGTAGTTAGGCTGCCCAGTGCAACTCATTCGATGTTCTATTATTATTTATTCCGCTGCAGGCATTGCTGCATTGCTGCTCCATTCTATCCAAATATAACATACACATTAGCCAATTAGCAAAGTGAGAAATACGAAGCAAATACGACAAATTTATCCCTAGTCAATAGTCAAATTATTTATACAATTATCTATTTGTAAATGCATGTTAATGTTATCGAAGCCGCCAAATCAGTCAGCGATTATCCATGTTTATTATCCCTAGGCTTAGACCATCAAATATTGTTATTATCCTTGTGTGCACGCCCAGAAAAAAAGGAAACTTCAGAAAAACAACAAAAAACACCTTTTTGCAATCTGTTTTGTTTGTTAGCCCATTCTACGCAATGAAAAGATATTATCGTTTGTTTAAAATATACAAATAAAATTTTTATTTTAAATTACAAATTTTTTGAGATTTATTTATTAACAGTCGAGTTCGAGGTTAGCTAGCAGATTAAAATTAATTCACGTAGCCGGATGCAATTACGAATCAATTAATGCCACTATCGATGGACGGCAGGTGCAAGACGACATCATAAATAATCCCTGTTACGGACACTGATAAATCGTTGACAAATGGCGTTACAAACGGACGAAAGTCCCACCGACCAGTTTAAAGGACACGGTCGTTGTGAACCATCATCCGGTCGCACCGTACCATTACCATGTGACCGGTATCGCATTTAAAATAGATTAAAAATTGTGTCGCAGGTGAAACGGGGTTAGTTCTATGCAGCAGCAGGAGCAGCATCATCATTTGCTGCAGCTGCCAGGAGCTTCCTGGTGTCCTGGCATCCTTTTGCTGCTTTCCACTGCTCACATGATAATTTATCAAACGTTGGCGCCGCTGCAGTGGACACCACTTCCTTCTTTCCGGTTACCGCTTCCTGGATAGCCCAGAGCCTATCAAAAGGACATTAGGCGTGCCGCTCCCGTTGACAAGTTGGCCAACTGCGAACAAGAGAGAAGTAAATGAAAAAGCGTCGGTTAATGCGCCAAGGCCAAATGGAAAAATATGAGGCCAACGGTTGCAGAAGTAATACTGTGATTTTTTTGTGTTTTTTTTTTTGGGAGGGTTCTTTATGGCCGCACACTTGACTAGGCAGGCGCCCGTCCTGCACTTCCTCTAATGGCTCGGAAATGGCCGTATAAATCTCATTTGTAATCGCAAAGCCGAAAAAAACTATCGCCAGACAACGCCTAAAGTAGGCAGCCCGAATAATGGAGAACTTGCCGCGCAAGAAGAGTTGTTGCAAACTTTCCACCGCTCTGCTGCCACTCGAAACTAAGTCAATAAAAAATATAACCCAAAAAAGGAAGAAAATAACAAAAATAGTCAGCGGTGCAGCAGGGAATGCAATAACAAGGATCCCAATTGGCGGCAGCGGCATATTTTCGACGACTTAGCGACTGTCGTCGCCACTGCCACCGAAAAACGGATTTTCCGTTTTGGTATTAAGCCATCGAAACTTTTATTGATTTAGGGGCTTTCGTTGCGTCCCAGCGAGCATTTCAGTTGACAGGTCTGCTGGAGACAACTGCCAAAGAAAATGAAACAAAAAAAAAATCACTTTGCATAGCCGAAAATTTAAGCCAGGATGTGCTTTTTCATTGGTCTTAAATCATGGAAAGTCAATTATGTTATTGGGTTCTTGAATCCATAATTGTTTTGACTTGCTTTCTAAGTAATTTTCTATATTAAATTATGCAAATAGCTTTCTTAATATTAATCCTTAAAATTCAGTTTCAGTTTCAGTTTCGTATTTTTGTAGTACTTTGCCCTGCTTTCCAGCTAAGAAGTTCAAATAAAAACAGGACCCAACACCTGCACGACAATTTTTGACCAAATATTTGCCAAGTACCTCAAATAAACGCCTCCTTGGCTGCCCCTGCAGCCAATTGTGTCTCCTTTTGAGTTGCTGTTGTTGCTGTTGTCTGGCGCAACAAAAAATCAATTTCGGGCACATTACCAGCCTGGCAACTTGATTTTATTATTTACTCGTATTTTGCCGTTTGACAGATTCGCCTGGCTGCCCTCAAAATTTCAAGCGCACTCATACTCCTTTCCCTTACTTGCTTTTTTTTTTGGTTGGCGTTGGAAAATCGGAAAAGCGAGGGGCTTTAAAATTGCCCAAGGGGGCCCAAGTAAAATGACTGCAGTGCGCCTTTCGCAAGGAGCAGATAAATCGAAATAATAAGAAAGAACAAGCTACAGCAAGAAAAAAAAACATATATGTACAGAGAAAACGAAGCAAAATCCATGTATGTTTGCTCACAAATCTTGGGCAAATAAAGCTGGAAAATTCTGAAGGGGAAAATTCAGGAGGGGGGGAAAGGGAAAAGCGGGTAAGTGCGGCTGGATTTTACGTTTTCATTAGAGACTGTCTCGGGGAATCCTTTTGCCAGAGAGAGATCCAAGTTTACTGCAACTTTATCCTATTTTACAAACTACTTTAGGCAATTGATTGTCTGCGAATGTGTCTATAAGTGTGTGTGTGTGTGTGTCTCAGCGGAGAGTGTGTTTGAGCATCTGCAAGTGTGTGCGAGTATCTGAGTATCTGTGTATCTAAAAGGTGCCGGCAACTGAGCCAGCGCTTTTTGATGTCTCTTCTTTACTTTTTCCCTTCACTG